CTTTGAGATTTAATTAGTTCCGATTCGTTCGGCATTAGAAAAACCGCAAGAGATGCATCACGCGGAAATTGTTTCTCGTTTTCATCCTGGTGCAACACACTCATGCTAATTAGTAATTACATGCTGTGAGTGCGCTACAGTGATCACAGCGGGAATCCTCGATTCAGATGTAGATCGAGAGCAGAATTAATAAAGCATAATTACGCCTTCTCGGTGTAACAAACGCACTGTTTTTATATAACTTTCATGTAGGATGATAAAAGCAATAAAAAAATTCTTGTAATCATTTTTAATATAAATTAAACAGTTTAATTGTACTATACAAACACAATTTGCAGGAATGATTCTTACAGCTTTAATACTTTTATTATTTACTATTTATCTGGTATTAATTTAATTATTTTATTTCACCTTCGGTTTTACATTTTTTCAGTGCATCGGCCCATTCCAAAATTATCAATGAGTCTTATTTTAATCCAAAATAAATTAAATTTTTGCACAGTATGCATATAATTTTATTTCACTTTATTTTGTAGAATTTTATTTCTTATAAATTACATCAAAGACTTTGTAAACTAGAATTTCCAATATCCACATTACAATTGATTTTAATGAAAATGCTTTTTATTTCTCTACTGTTCTGCAGGTTGCCTACGTCAGCAATTTTGGTTTTCTTAACTTACAACAGGAGCATCTAAAGGACAAAAATAATTTAAATAATTTTGCTTACTTTTAAAACTCTCTCTTTTTTGTAAAAAAAATCGTTTAATGAATTGCAAATAATTACCACCGGCAAAGTTTGCTTCTCAAGAGCTAGTACAAATGATTTACAACTGAAGTGTCATTGCCCGCGCCCTCTTGGGTTACAAAAAGTGGCCTCGGCGGTCAATAAAAATTAAAGGGAGAAAATCGCGCGCACATAACACGATAGTAAAGGTGTAAGTGATTTTTTGCCTCAAATATCAACCATCGGCGCAGAGTGAACTTGAGTGCCTTGCTCGTTTTATTGGGCGCAATAAAAGCGCCTTCGGTCCAACCTGCAGACTCCCTCCTGAGTCACCTTTGCGTTTCGCAAGCGCCGGGGTCCGCGAGCTGCTTTTCAACTAACGAGCGACTCGGACATTTGCGTGTTTAGTACTTTTGAATTCAGGTACCGCGCTCGCACTGCAAGACAGAACAATGAACCTGTTTTCTGCAACCATGTTTAATAATAATTATTGCCTTACGTGTGTCCTTTCGCGGCGCCGTTGCTTTCGTGCGGCCTATTTTCGCCGGTCGCAATATCACTCGCTTCTGGAGCACTTTACTGAATCGCTTTGTGAAGAAAAGAAGAGAAATAAAGAGCGGCACAGAAGATTTTCTGCTCCAAATGAAGATTACTAGTGGCGCATATCAATTAGTGATAGAGCCTAAAAAAAGAGAGTAGCTGAAAGTTAATGAGACGAGAAGAACGGAATGAATTAACACGTTTTTCACGCTTACTTGGATATTAAATTGATACAAAAAAAATTTAATTTTAGAACAAATTCTTCAGAGAGGGGTAAATAAAATATGTAAAAAAAGAAACAAGTTAAATATTATGTGAATTTTATTTTTGATCGTTCTGAGAAATATTGAATCGCAACCAAGCCAATTCCATTTGAACTCTGAAACATGGGAAGAAAGAAAAACTCAACCTGGCGTGTCCATGAAATTATGACAACATAAAACGACTGGCCGGCGTGGCTTTTGATTTACACTTACTTTACTTTACGGCTACCCGTTTTATCAGATCGAGGCGCGCATGTGAGAATAACATTATATATTGGTTTTAAATTACGGGCGGGTGGTGTTAGCACTGCTCACGGCAGTGCGTCGGTTCGTTGGCCAATACGCAGAGGTTGTGCATGGTCACTCGAAACATGAGCTCACCAGATCCGTATCGCCAATAATAAACAAAATTTCACTCTCTCGCCTTCGACAGCTTTCAAACGCTTGAGAATATTGGTGATTTATTGGCAGCGATAGGGTGATTGGTGTGCGGAGGCGGTTTGTCCGTAAATGGTGCGCAGAAAATTGTTTGGATCTATTAGGGAAATAATAGGGCACGTTTCTTCACTAACTAACGAGTGGAGCGTGTGAGAGACTGGATTTCATTTCCTCTGGTACCTTATTTCTAATAAAAAAAATGCCTAAAAATGATCATCTTCTTTTTGAAAACATTTATACTTTTGGAGTAAAAAAGCAATTCGTTGATGTATGGAGTCTAAAATAAAGCATTTTGAATATATTTGCTATAAAATAAAATTAAAATCAAACCAATATTTTGTACAGCGGATAAAATATAAAATTTAAATTTTGATCAATTATTGCAAATTATTGATGGTGAGATATATAATTTGCATCGAAAATTCAATGCTTAATTTTAAAATTCAGAGCCTAAAAATTAATTTAATAAATGTTAATTAATTATTCAGTGTGTTAATTACTACTTATTTTTTCTTGTCTAGATACTCTAGATTGGCGATGACAAATTTAGCAGATAATCAATCATTTTGATATCTTAAGTTTGCGATTATTAGACTTCTATTTAGATTGAGCAATTTACCGTTAATAAGCCCATTTCATCTCGCTGATGATCGTAAAGGCATCTCGCTTGACCTTTTCAGACTTCAGGTGCTTCTGCCGAGTGCGCTTTCGATCAACATTGCCCATCAGTGTGCGGCATGATGATCATTGTTTATTGTTTACTTGAAGCATGACTACCAGTGAGCACAATAACATAGCTTGCGATCAGTCGGCCCCGTGGCAGGAATCACGCCGCTCAACCTCTTCATTTTTATGAGCCAAATTGAATCAGCAGAGCAACAGGTGTAAAATTAATAGCTCAAAAGAAAGACGCATATTTAATACAAAAATAATCCTCAAGAAAAAATGCAAGGCTGAGGGCGAATTGCACTTTCATTTCTAATCAAAAATGTGTTGAAACACGCAAGACGCTTCAATCATGAGTTTTTTTGACGTGTTTTGACGTTAACGAGAGAAACATTGCCGAAATACAATTTCAATGCTCGCGTGCGTCTTCGTTGTTTTTTCTCACTACAATTTAAATGACACATTCTGCCCAAAATAGGCAAAAGCAGCCGCGGCGAAATCGCGCGCCCATCAAAAAGTCATGATCTCGTCACCGTCACCTTTCAAGACCTTTCTCACAGCAGGCTGGCGCGAGCGTGATTCAAAATTTCCCTTTGTTTTGCGGCTGACCACACAAAGCGAGCGAGCGCCCACGCGCGATCGAAATCGCGCCTAATCTCTCTCGCGGCCCGTTTTCCACTCGGCTTCTGTTTCTGTACGCAAGCTCAATTTAAATGGAGATGTGCCCCCGTATCAACACTTTTTGGTTCATTTTTATTGAAAAACTCCCGTTGGCCAACGGTTATGTTTTTATGGGCTGATGAAACTTACTCAACTGGCTGCGCGCATAAAACTTGATATTAATTAGCAAAACTGACCTGAATTCATCCGTCTAAAAGCAGAGCACAAACAAATAAATCATCTCTCGATTGAAATGAATTCAAATCCGTGACTGCTGCAGAAAGTGCAATTCTTCCTCTTTTTTCTTTCATTTTAATTCTTTACGAGCGGCGAAGCAAAACGAATAATTGCTCTGTACATTTCAATTTCACACCGCCTGTGTTGTTTGCTAAAGCCGAAAACTGGTTGATTTCTCTCTCGGCCATCTCTCGCGAGTCCACCTGTATAGTCCACTTGTGCACCAAGCTGTGGCCGACTTAGGAAGCCTCCTTTTTTCAAGTAAACTCGTTCGGCAGAAAGTCAGTTCCTTTTGAAATGTCGAAGGATGAGGACGAGAATCAAAGAGCAAATCCAGCCGGGCGGCAGTGTGGCCCAAACCCTTGAGATTTTACGCGTGCTTGGCTGTAGGCGAAAAAAACGCACGTTCGGTGTGTTGCCGACCCTCTGGAAATACCACAAGCACGAAATAGAGGTAAAAATCGTCCTTATCGCTCACGTTCGCCCAACCGGACGCATTTTAATCAGGTCTTTTTACTGTTCGCCTTGTGCATTTTACGTAATTTAGAGGTGCGCATATATTTTCCGCTTCAAAATTTTAGTTGAAAATTACAATTTGTAAGGATCAAATAATTTTATTTTGGGGTAAAAATTTATCTTTTTTCGATTAAAATTTGAATTAGTAGTTTTAAATTAAAAATTATGCTATATCTCTTCGGTTTGGAATTATTTTCTAATTAAATAACCAGAATATATAGAATCTTATTTATTTTTGATAATAATTACGAAAATTTTCACTCTTTACCTCAAAACTGAGAATCGATCTGCTATTTAAAATATAAATAAACCAAACTTCTTTTAAAGAAGAAACACATCCACAATTCATAATGTTGGGTAGGTAGCGAGAAAAAGTGCTCATGCTAAGAGTTAATATTTGGCGAGAAACAAACACCATTATGAGGCATGCAAACTCGTTTTATTTTATTTTTTCGTTGGGTAAGGTTGGCCGGCAATTTTGCACCGAGATGACCTGTCAGATAGCTGGATTGGCACAAGCAATAAGTGCAGCTAGCAGCATCATGGGAACGAAAACAAACGAGAAAGTCAATTAGGCTTGTATGGATTCAAAAGAGCACACAATGAATGCAGGCAAATGGGATTTTGCTTGTTTAGAGGGAATGACTGTAATTTTCTTCTCTTTATGACTGCCTTAGTGAGATTGGTAAATAAAAAAAGTGCTCAATTTTTATAAAAATAAAGGGATTTGATGCATCTTTCCATTAGGAGCTTCCAAAATTTATTTTATTCTTCTTTTTAAGTTGAACTCCTTTGATTCTTTGTCAGTTTTTTCTTTAAAACTTTCTTTAGATTCATTATTTTAATGTAACACTAAAAAGATATTTATTTTATTAATATTTATTACATTTTTTTGTATAGTGATCTTTCATTCCAAGAAATGTTAAAAAAACTAACTTTATTTCTTGTTTCAGGACCACCGTCCACCAGTGTACAATCCAGAAGACTATGCATCGGCCCTGAAAAAATGGAGCCGCCGGTCTGGTCCTCTTTTGTACGCCTCCAACATTGCAAACAGCGACGAAGCCACCATGGGACCTGGAAACACAAATACGGCGCCACCCAGATACAACTGGCGCTCCAGGTCGACCGACAACTTGCACCAAGAGCCCACGTCTCTTGGTGGCAGCAGAGACTTCCGAAATCCAAATCTAACTTCATGCAGCCAGGGAGAAATGACCCTGCGCCAGTTTTCCAGTGTTTCCGAGTTGCTCAACAAATTGAGACAAGATTTGAGATTAGCTTTGCCCAGGTACGTGTGATTTTTTTTTATCGCAGGGACTTTCTTGGATTAATTGATTGCATTGTTTTCCAAGACGAACTGCGTTTTTGATCAGACTGTCAGATTGCTTACGCGCTCCACTTATAAGATTAATTTGAATTTTATCCATTATCTCTCCATTATTACAATGGGCGTGTAATCTCAATGAGTGATCAATCAATTTAAATGTTTGCTTAATTTTAAGTGCTCATCAGGTGTCAATTAATTTAAAAAATGAACTTTTTTACATTTTTATAGTTTTTTATTTGAAAGAGGGTAACAAAATAAATAAATATACAATTAAATTTGATTACCAGCGCCAGCAATGATGATTGGGTGAGTCAATGAAAGAAGATCCTTATTTGCGTTGACTTAAAAATAGACTAATTTATTCTACTTAGATTTCCCATGAGGCTAGTTAATTTAATTAGCGGCGGTAGGGCATTGGATCAGCAGGGAAGTCGGCGTTAGGCGAGGAAGTGGTCAAAGCGGGCCCGTCGCAACCAGCGTATTGGGGCCAGTCGCAGACCTGGAGCTGGGCATTGAAGTGAAGACCATCGGGGCAATCAAAGTAGTAACCGGTTCCCCAATCGCATTTGCAGAAGCTGCCGCAATCACCAGGGTTGGGCAGGTGCAGGGCGAACTCTCCGTTTATCTCCGGACATTGAACGTTGGGGCAGATGGGGCGCGCGGGGGTGGTGTTTCCACCACCAGGGGTTGAGCCGCCAGAAGATGGAGTAGTGGTGGTGGAGGCACCTCCACCAGGAGTCGAGCCGCCAGAAGGTGGGGTGGTGACTATGGGGTCACTTCCTTCTTGGCATCCGGCATTTTCAGGCCAGTCGCACACCTGGAGCTGGGCATTGAAGTGAAGACCATCGGGGCAATCAAAGTAGTAACCGGTTCCCCAATCGCATTTGCAGAAGCTGCCGCAATCACCAGGGTTGGGCAAGTGAAGGACGAACTCTCCGTTTGTCTCCGGACATGTAACGTTGGGGCAAATGGGGCGCGAGGGGGTGGTGTTATTAGGGGGCTTGGTAGTGATAGGTGTGTTAGTTGTGTTAGTAGGGGGCTTGGTAGTGATAGGTGTGTTAGTGGTATTGGTAGGAGGCTTAGTAGTGATCGTGATAGGTGTGGTGGTGGTGCTTTCAATAGGGTAAGACGTCGTGGTGTTGAAATCATCACGATTTTCGCAATCACTATAATCGCAAATTCCAAGGCTGGGATTGAAGACAAGGTCAGGAGGGCAGGGATAGAAGGAACTGGTGCCGTTTGCGCATCTGCAGAAGCTGTTGCACCAACCGGGATTTGGCAAGTTGATGGGGCCACAAGTGCCTGGACAGCGGACGGTGCGACAATTGTCACCATCGTCGCCCCCTATTCCTGGTGGCGGTTCAACGGTGCCATCACACCCAGCAGATTGAGGCCAGTCGCAAACTTCGGCCACAGGGTTGAAATGAAGGCCAGGTGGACACTGCATCAAGATTGGGTTTCCCCAATTGCACACGCAGTAGCTGCTGCAATCTTCGGGGTTGGGGTAATGGATTGCAGGACCTTCGTTATTGTTGTTGGGGCATTGCACGTTCCTGGTGCATCCATCAGATGACGGACGTCGAGTGGTGGTTGTGGTGACCGAAGGTCTTGTGGTGGTAGGGTTCGATGGTCTTGTGGTGGTGGTGGGATTTGGTGCTCTTGTGGTGGTGGTGGGATTTGGTGCTCTTGTGGTAGTGGTGGGATTTGGTGATCTGGTAGTTGTAGTTAGGTCGCAGCCAGCGTTTAAGGGGTGCTCACAAATCTGGTGGGCAGGGTTGAAATGCAGGTCTGGAGAACATGGGACCCAGTTAGGGACTCCATTGTAGCACTGACAGTAGCTTCCGCAGTCATCAGGGTTTTTGAGGTTGGTCAAAGGATTGGTGTTAGTCGGGGGACAGCGAGCGTACTCGCAGCCGTTGATCGGGCCAGTACCAGTATCGTTGTTATTGCCACCGCCACAACCCGCATTCTCTGGCCAGTCACAAACTTCGAGCTTCGGGTTGAAATGGAGGCCACCAGGACAGTCAAAGTAAATCGGGACGCCCCAGTCGCACTTGCAGAAGCTACCGCAGTCATCAGGATTCGGCAGATGGATGGCCAAACCGGAGTTGCTGTCTTCAGGACATGTGACATTCTTGCAGCCATTGCTAGGTGGAATCACACCAGGTCCCTCTGTGGGCAAGTCGCAGTCAGGGTCTTCTGTGACACCGCCGTCAGCGCAGCCTGCGGCCTCGGGCCAATCGCACACCTCCTTTTCGGCGTTGAAGTGAAGTCCGTCAGGGCATGCGAAATAGACTGCCTTGCCCCAGTCGCATTTGCAGAAGCTGTCGCATCGGAAAGGGTGTGGTTTATGTTCGGCAAATTCTCCGTTCAGCAACGGACAGGAAACGGTTTCACATCCTGTCGGGTCCTCGGAGCTGGCGTAGGTCGCAAGTAAAACTAATCCAAGTAGGATGTCTAAAATATTTAAAAAAAAAATAAAATAAAGGTTAAAAAATGTTTAAAAATTTAAAATGATTTGTGACTTACATTTCATAGTGTTTTGTTTGCCTTGTACCGTTGTTACCTATAAGGTCTGGTACAAACTGCAATACTTCTTGCTTTTTCACTTGTTGTGAATGTGTCGTCGTAGAAGGATGCATCGTCTTTTATACTAGACCCCTGGGTCTTTTCTTAATCCTGCCTCAATGACGTTATCGTTACCGTCTTTTCTGATAAATAGGGGAACAACGTCATGATAGTATTGGATTATAAGAGATTAACTTATCCATCTTGCTTGCAACAGATTGTAAAATTATAAGGCTGCCTCTTTTGCGCCAATCGAAACAAAAATAAGGTGCTTTTAATAGATAACCTTAAAAAATTTTGTTGAGGCACACAAATTTGATCACACAAAAACGCGCAATAAAATTAAAGGCTGATTTTTTTTTAAGTCGTTGCATTACTTCTAAAATTCACGCAAATTGCGGAATGCGCACACAGATAAGGGCGTGCTTATCTTGGTGAACAAAAACTGACCATGTAAAAAGTGCGGCTACCCATAAATCAATTAGGATTAATATTTGTCAGCGGTAAAATATTTCAAAACTTTGTACACTTCAACTATTAAGTCGTAATTAATTATTCTTGATAGTGGAGAGTAATCAATCAAATTTTTTAGTTGACCAAACGCATTATGTATTGACGTAATTTCAGAATTTCTGTTAATCGTGACGTTTTTTATGTGTGCGCAGTTTCGTCCAAGAATTTGTTGGTGACCCTTTGGATGGCGTCACACTGCTGCTGGAAATTTTGCGAGCGGTCCAGCTGAGCCAGACCACGCAGAAGACACGGATTCCGCCTGCAATCGCCCGCAGGGCCTTGCTGGATGAGCACGAATGTTTGCAGTGCCTGCAGAGTTGCGTGGCGCGGTCCCAGGAAGGGGCCCGCAGATTGGCCTCCTCGCCAGCAGGCCTGTTCACCGTGGCCGTCGGGATTATGAGCAACGTCACCAAATCCAGAATTCTTGCACTCCAGGTATTAAAATTTCTGCAGGGAAAAATCATATTTATTAATGAAGGAAACCTAACCCCCAATTTTGAATATAATTTAAGAGTAAAAAAGGCCTTGTAAAGTAAAAGACGAGATCTTCATTCCGTAGTCAAATTTTTTCAAAGAATTTTTTAACGTTGACAAAGCCTTTTTATCACATAATTTTCGCGTGAATAATAATTAAATTTTTGTTCGTGAGACCGGGCTCATAAAGCGCCTTGCTTATTTTGTATTTTGATAATGATTTAGTGAAAAAGGCATCTTTCTGGCGAAATAAAAAGGAATTGAGGAAAGTAAACACGACGTATATATAATAAAGCATTCTGGCGGTGTTTCTATGTGTTTGCACGGCGTGCCATTGTGTTTGGAAATATTCGTGACTGCTGCGAGATATACTATTTACATAACACACGCGAGAGGAGTAGATGATGGCCAGATATTTGGCACATTTTGCTAGCGAATTTTTTCCTTTAACGTTGACTTTGGAAATTATATTAATATAGTAAAACCATCCAACGGCTTCAATTTTCATCTGATTTCTTACTTTCTCAGTTATTAATGAAATAAAGAGATAAAAATAAAATACATAGAATTGGAATTACTATTTTTAGAACTACTTCATGAAGAATTTGTGTTTCACTAACAATAAAATGATTTTTTTTTTTTAATATTATTGCTCTTAAATTATTTCCTCGTTGCATTGCATATTTGACACTGACTTTGTCGTGCGCAATTTTGCAGCTATTGACTAGAGCGTGCGAGCCGCCGGCGAACGGCCACTCAGCCGTGTCTGAAGCCATGTCGACCCTGCGCCTCAGGTTTGGCGAGCCTGTGCGGTTTCGCTTCCTGGTGGGCATGTTGAGCAGCGGCGCGGGGGCCTCGTCACCCCAACTGCAGAGCATTGGCCTCAGATTTGTTAACACATTTCTGGAGGCGGCCCCCTCACCCCAAATTCGGCTTTACATTCAGGCCGAAGTTGAGCAGGCTGGACTCCAACCGAGCACCATCAGAAAGGTATCACCTTTCCCCATCATTCCTCAAAACACGTTTTGCTCCCTGTTGAATAAAATTCAGCTCAAAGTTTGCCACTCTTTGAATTAAGATATTTTAGTTGAGCACCATATCTATGAAGAATATTGGCCGGTGGATTGAATTTTTTGCTTTAAAGAAAATTAACATTAACACGTGTCATTTGAATTGATAATGAGACACCGTGATTGACAAATTATCGACATAAAAGTTGAGACAAGTATAAGTGTTTTTTTATCGGTTTTAATTAAGTTAATTTTTAGCGGTACATTTAAAGTACAATTATTTGATTACTTGTGATTACTTGTGTTAAAAAAATATGTAACTGTCAATTGATTATTTTTTAAATATTGATGGACACTTTTAAAACAATAATTTAATTTAAATGAGCAAAGTCCAGTTGTCCACACAAAACCAACGTGAAAAATTTTGAGTGCTAAAAAAATGAGAAAATGTAATGTTAAAAACTTTACTTTGTTTTTAGTCATTGCCCGCAAACGCTGCGGTGGCTGAGGAAATACAAAAGGAATTGAAGAGGTGGGAAAATGGCTATCTGGATATCAACACACTTGAAGACAGAGCAAAGCATGCCGAAAACGAGATTTCGTCTTTAAGAGAAAAGACTTTGCTTTTAGAGCGCAAACTTCAAGTAAGATGGCGAAATCAAATTTATGCATTTGCTAATTTTCTGAATAATTTATAGATCCTCCAGGAGGAGAAGAGTGTACTGCTGTCTCTGGAGCGGTCTCTGAAGGAGCGGTGCACACAGCTTGAGGGAGAGGTCAAACACCACCAGCACATCATTTCTCCCAAAAGTTCAAAGGTCGGATCAACTCCAGAAGATGAGGGCATAAGCTCTTCCGACCAGCCTAGTAGCGGGGAAGAAGGCAACGGATCGCCCTTGACACGCAGAAGGGACGTCATTGAGCTCAAGGTTGAAGGACCACCCATCCTCCGGGAAACCAGTGTTGACCAGCAGGACTCGGACGAGGAAGAAACGACTATTGAGGAGGTCATGGAGGAGCTCAGGAACATCATCAATGATGCCGAGAGCGAGGACAGGGCCAGAATGCAGAGAGAACAGGATATGGAAATTGCCAGAATTAGGTAAATTTACACAAATTATAAAACTTGAAAATATCCATGAGCGAAACACGAGGCAAAAAAATGGGATCATGCAGATAAAGATTTAACATTAATAGGATTATAGCTTCTTAGACAGAACAATTCAGAGAAGGCCCTTATTAAGTGATTAGGCTAAAAATGAGATAATCCAAATAATTTTTAAGCATGCAATAAAATTTTAAGCGGCCTTACACTAATTAAACCATTGATAATTTTTTTTAGCAATAAGAACCGACGCCCACGTCAACGAGCCCCAACGGAGTACGAAGAACGCGTCAGTCTGGACACCCCTAATTCGGACGAAATTGAAATCATCCCAACCAGGTTGCCGCAGCCCCCACGCAGGTCAAGGGCTTTGGCCATGATGCGAGATGGTGCCCAAGGGATTCTCTTCTTTGACGAAGAGACTCCCAGTGACACCAGCGACTCCGACTCCTTGCTGAGCGCCTCTCGAGAGCCAGAACCCACGCAGAGACCCACCTATGTGTACGGCAGCAGACCTTTGGTTCGCAGGGAGACAATTTCTGCTCACCCTGTGACACCCATCAGACGGAGCGAGTCTTTCCAACATCAACACAGACCGTCACAGGTTAGAAAAACACAATAAATTTTTTCGTTATTGAATAAAAAAAAAACTTTATTATATTTTGACCTCAATTTTTTAGATCCAATACAACCCAGTGCCAGTTATCACAAAGGAGACAACCACACACCCTTTGTTCTTCTTGAACGACCCACCCCGGCCAAGCAACGGCAGCAAGTCAAAGAGTCTTGAGAAAATTGACGAGGGCCTCAACTCGATGGTGGACATTGTGACTCACGTGCGTTGGGAGACCCCCCAAGTCTCTCTGCACCATGACTACCGCAGCAACGGCTTTCCTCGGTATTCGGACAGGTACCCACCGGACGGCGCCAGCAGTGGCATGTCCGGCAGCGCCCTTTTCATCTCGCCTAGGGAACAGAGTCCCCCGAGCCACCACTACAAGGCCCCATTCATCAAGAGGGGCCACGTCAACGCTGGCCTCTACTCGGGCCAAATAAAGCCCATGATGCAGTGCCAGTCGTCCAGCAACAGCAGAACAGCTTCTGTGCCCAGCTCTGCAGGCAGACTGGCTGATTTGCCCTCGGGATTGTATTAAATGTGAATGATTGTTGCTCTTAAGCTGCCTTACTGTACCAGCGGATTTGGAAAAATTGGTCGATTTTGAAGTTTATTTTGCGATTGAGTAACTTCGATTTTGACTCTCTTTTCCATGATTGTTTAAAGGATTGCTAACTTGTTGGCATGTGGTGGTAAAATTATTAGGCTCAAATTGTTTCAAAGTAATATTACACAATGGAGTGATGGGTTGGTAACATTTATCAATGTTCTATGAGTGTGTTGCACTTTTTGTTATTGTAAAATTAAAATTAATTTATGCCAGTGCAATATTCGCATATTTGAACGAGAGCGGTGAAGATCTCTCTAGACTTATTAGTCATTTCCAATGTGCTGACATTGGTCACTTAATGACACATTGAAGCCGAAAAATTAAACATATGGGTGTAAATAGTTTGTGTACAGATGAGTAACTGTAATAAAGTTAATTTTTAAAAATAAGTATGTTTTTCATTTGTGGATTAGTCAAAATTAATCAATTTTTTACTTAAAAAATTCATTTATTTTTCATTTTTAATACTTTAAATGATAATAATAATAATAATATAGGAAATAAAATAATTTTAAAAAGCAATATATTAATTGTTAAGTACTTGAAAAATCTACGAATTGGTAAAAATCTTTCAAAAAAACCGCTTATAAAATTATATATATAAAAAACAATAATATGCACTGCACATTATAACATTTAAATAGGCTGAATATTTGGATTAAAAAATATAAATGCTTGGTCTGATATCTGATAATGGCACATAAGATGTTTTTAACAAGAAAATGCTTGTTCATCATCACCTTGGTTCAGTGGCTTCATTTCTTCGTCCCGAAATCCTTGATTCGAAGATGATTGTATAGAAGTGTATTCTGAAATACGCGATTAAATTTTTAGTATTATTTATTAAATAAGATAAAAGAAAATACCTCTAGAAATGTAATTTTCAAGCTCATCTTCATCACAAAAATGAATAAATTCCTCCAAGCTCGCTCCTTTGAAGACCTCGATAACGCCAGGTCTCAAATTGTAGAAATAAATTGGCTGCTTTCGTCTTTTAAAGTCCTCTATTAAAGCAGCAATCCCCTGTAATAAAAATTGCGAAAAATTGGATAATAATATAATTTTCTCATAAAGATGGCAACACGATTTACTTTTGCAGCAGTAAAATCTGCTCCCAAGACGTACTTGCAGTCAACCACCACTGCAGTTGTTCCTTCCTGGCTACCGGCTTTCCCCACAGTCGTTCTGATGAAATCTACGGCTGGGAAGTATAAACTATTTCCAGGAGTGACCATAAGATAACTTCTACCAGACTTTGTCTAATAAAACGTATCAGTCCTGATGAGTTTCTTTTTTTCAGAAATAAAAAAATCCCTACCATTGTTTTATTAACTTGGACTGTAGGTCTAGCTGAGGGGTAAAGTAGCATGATGATATTAATGGCAACTCCAGCCAAAATACCGTATTCAACTCCCCATGCAAGGCAAACGGCAAAAGTTGTAAATGTCGGAACCAAATCTTTTTCTGGAATAATTATTTGTTAGAATTTGGAGATAGCAAACTACTTTTGAACGCACTGCTTGAGCGCCACATAGGAGTGACCACCTCATATTCAATCATAAAGATGACGGCACAAATGATGACTGCGGCCAAAGTCGCTTTTGGTATAAAATAGAAATACGGCGTCAGCAAGCTCAAAGCCAGCAGTACAAGCACGCCTATTCAAATGATTTAAATGATATTTTGATCAAATTTTTATTTGTACCTGTATAGAGACCACCCATCGGGGTTTGAACTCCACTGGCGTGGTTGACGGCGCTTCGAGAAAACGACCCGTCAACTGGATATGCAGATGTTAAAGAAGCAGCCAAATTGGACATTCCTAAGCCAATCATTTCCTGCGTTGCATCTACAGAGTCTCCAGTTGCTTAAAATATTTGAGTTTATTTTTAAGAAAATAAAAATTAAGAAAATCTTACAAAATGTTTTTGCAATAGCCACGTTTCCGAGGATAGCTATAACTGGAACTAAGATTATTGAAGATCCAAGTTCCGAGGCCATCTCGGTGAAGGAGAGAGTTTGATTATTGAGCGTTGTGCTGAACGGAGGAAGAGAGATGCTTGGAAGGCCTGACTGGACAGCACCTGTGGCAGATGTTTTTTTTTTTAAATTCAATTACCAAAGTTTTCATTTACCAATGAGCAAAAATGGTGATTTGTTTCCTGATACTTCGTAACAAAATGCAACCAGAGAGCAGATTATGACAACAAGAATATTCCTGGAGACCGAAACAAGCCACAATGATCTTTTCAAAATTCTTCTGAAGTGATCTCTTTCACTGGTAGGTTCTTTTATTGGAAAATCTTTTGCTTTCTAAGTAAACAGTTGTTGATTAATTGAAATCGAATGATTAAAACAAAACATACTCTCAATAAAAGAAGAGCAATGATGCAGAAGAGGCCGAGTAATGTGTCGCCTAGTCTCAAATTTGGTAAGTTTCTTAACACTTGTGCTACGTTGTCCAGAAAAGAGCTTGAGGTGAACTTGAGACCAAGCAGTCCCTTTAGTTGAGACACAATGATTATCACAGAGGTGGCTGAAGTAAAGCCAATGCTGACTGGCACGGATATAAAATCCAAAAGCACGCCTAAAAATAACAATCAAAAACATTTGGTTAATTTTAAAGTAGAAAAAGCTCAAACCTAAATTTAAAATGCCAAAAAGCATCTGAACACAGCCAGTTAGAAAACAGAGGAGCACGGCAAAGTCTTTGTTTCGTCCTTTCACTTGGTCGTAGGTCATGAGTGACATGAGCGCTGTCGGTCCAATCGTAATGTCTTTGCATCCGCCAAAAATTATGTACATGAAACAGCCCATAAAGGCGGAATAAAGTCCGTACTGAAATAAAGTTTTTATATAATCTCAAATTAAAATTTGAACTTTTTTACCATACCTGGGGTTCAAGACCAGCTAATGTGGAGTAGGCTAGGGCTTGTGGAATGACAGTGAGGCCGACTGTGACTCCTGCAATCAGGTCGCAGATGAACTTGGTGCGGTCATAGCCAGGCAGCCAGGCGACAATCGGAACCCTTTGCCGAACGAGACGGCGAATTTTCTCGCCCATCTTAAATTCTTCCTGTAACGAATCATGCAAAAATACATTATTAATGAGCGCTGCGAACAAACTTGGGCTACTTTTTAGCTCATCGGCCACTTTCCCTTATTTCAAAAAAGTGGATTAATCATCATTACACGGAAATTAAATATCTTTAATAAATCACAAAGACTTTGATCGCTAAGTAGCTATCATAGTTCATTGAACTTTGAATTTGGTTCAATTAAATGTTTTCATTTAATCACGTGTTGTGTCATTTATAGAATCTATCTAGAAAAATTTGGTCCGTCGCACTATTCGACCAGTCTGCGTGTGTGATATCTTATCTGCTGCTGCAGATGATTACTCCATTCACCTGCAAAGCAAGCTGACGGACGCTCTCAGTCAGTATTACTTGCGTTGGTGCGGCTTAAAAATTTCAATTACGCACAGCGGATTGATCGATCACAATCATGTTTGACGACAATGACGACGAAGATCAAATAGGAGATTATTGTGAAGGTAATTTTTCTGGATTTTTGTTTGTCCCGGTTTACACAAGAGCACACGTCAGAGGTTTTACGATTTCTGAAAAGTTATGTTACGTGTGTATTTTAATTATTTTATTAGTGCTTATCCTAAGTAATGCTATTATTTAAAGAGTGCACACAATCCCAACGACGAGAGTTTCTAACTCGCTTTGCTGAATCAATTATTTTATTGCTCCATAAATACACAGATTGTTTATTCAAAATTTAATATTTAAATTAATTGTTATTTTTGCTTGTTCAACCGAATGTAAAATTTTTAATATTTTATTTAGTGCCACGAACTTTTGTCTGTGATGCAAATTTTATTTCATCGTTTTTATTTCTTGTATATTTTATGGAATTCCATAATATTTATATTATAACATAATTCAAAACTAATTAAAATTAATTATAACAAAGAAAGATTTTCACAAAATTTTATTATACAATTAAGTGACATTCATTAAATATGTTATGAAATAAATAAAAATCGTGAAAAAAATTGCATATTTAATTATCCCATAAAATCTGCAGGGGTAAGGTATGCAAGGTGGCCGACACCAAGGCACCTCACCTCAATAATACCTTGAAAATAAAAAATAAGATCAAGCAATGAATCAATGCTCCTGATTCCTGATAATAAAAAGAAAGTCAAATATGTGTATAAATATAAATACACAAACTTTGTGCATCATCCCTAAAAAAATTAACACTTCCGCCGCCCTTTCATACAAATATGGTTTTCTGCAAAAAGACCAAAAAATACATAAATGACGAGGCCAGCGTTGCAGCTCAATCACAAATACACATGATAATTAAATACAAATCATTACATCATTAGATATGAACCGAATTTTATAATAAAGTCAGCATTTTATGCATCATTATGTCGAAAAACTAACACCATTAAGATTTTTTAATTTTATTATAACTTAAAACGTTTAAAATTTTTGATTTGTTTCCGGTAGTTTTCAACTTTTCGGCCGATTTTGTTGATTGTTTCCATAATTAAAGCTCTCAGCAAAGTTTTGAGATTTTTTAATAACTTTAATAAGCCCAAATTCAATATTACCTAGTTAAGTACTTCCACAGTAAGTTCTATTCCTGAAAATTTGCATAAATCGTGAAAAAGAAGAAGATTGTTGTCCTCTACATGTTTCCTTTCGTTCCTGACGTGTCGCTGACACTCGATTGAAGTAAACAAAGAAGGTGATTGGCCATTGAAAACATTCTAGGCAGCCTATTGGCTACAGCTGGCGCGCAACTTGAATTTGTTATTGTTTTGCTGCAGACATGGCAGAGGCGACTGGACGAGATTTTCTCTCGCAATATAGGAACGTTTCTGGAAAACTGAAGAAGTCTGGTTTAAATTTTATGCTTCTTCTTAGATTCTAAAACATGTTTCTACTTTTTTAGGAGATTTTTGCGGAAACCAAACGTTGCAGAAGCTTCGGAGCAATACGGTAGCAAAATTTACTGTACAATATTCCTTATTCAAATTGATAGATTTAGATTTATCAGAGGTTTTTTGCTGAAGCTCTTACATTATTCTTAATCAAAATTAAATTTCCACCTATGCTGGCACTTAAATTTGTTTATTTTATTCCTATAGCTGCTCTCGCTACCCAGTTGGAAAACGACAAACAGCTGGACTATGCGGGCTTTTGCTGCTTGTCGGTGGCCAAATGCGAGCAGAGCTTGGCCCACTTACCTGGCGAAACTGCAGCCCTGGTTAGAGCCTCCAGACTCTTTCTACAGGCAGAAAAAAGTATTCATCGACTTGGATGCCCTAGTTTTGAAGAAAACCTACAAGTTGGTTTGAATTGTTTGGAATTGTTATTAATTATTTTTTATTTTGTGGTAGAATAATAGAATTTCACAACCGAGGGTTGATTCATGGTGATTTGAATATAAAGTCGACTTTTCCTTGATGGATTTTGATTTGCTTTTTTGTTAGAGAAAAAAAATATCCTGCTCTACATGTTTCGGCTGCGGGCTGTAGCCTTAATTCATGAGCTTTCTTGGTGGTAGTTGAGAGGAGACGAATAGTTTTTTCTTAAACAATAAACAGCTCACAAAAATCCATCGACTTTATACTCAAATCACCATGTTATATTTTAGTTTCAACAAAAATTTTATTTAGTACAAAAAATTGATGGAAATAAAATATTTAATAATTGTCAATTTGCATTAATTTATTCAGGCTGCAATCGGGTGCTATGGGAAAGCAGCGTCACTCATGATCGAGCAGCGGCAGCCCAGTCTGGCTGCTGGCCTATGCCTTGAGCTCGGAGATGCCCTTTGCCTGCTAGACCACACTTTGGAAGCCACAACGCAATACCAAAAGGCTGCTGAGCTCCAAGCAGGCAGCCCTGCTGATCAAGCGCACGCCTTGGGCCTGCAAGCAACATGCAAAATTAAATTAGGTCAAATTAATTTAAGAAAAAATGAGCATTAATATTAATTTTTGTGGTAAAATCATAGGCGACTTTGATGGTGCACTACAGATCTTCAACGACATGGCAGTTTTGGCTGAGACCGGGGGCTCGTATGGTGTTTTATGCGATATTAGGCATAGGTCTGTATTTAAGGCATCCATGTCAGTAGCATTCAAATTTAATTTAAACTGCATAAATTAATATAATATATTTACTTACAAATTTACTTTGGTTTTGTTGTAAGTAAAAATTTTCAAACTATAAAATAACTCGGAAACAATAACAATTACTGATAATTATTTAAAATTTTCTTTCATCAATTCAATCGATCAAGAATAATAAACAAACAACCTAACTTAAAACTATTCTTAAGTGTTTTTTAAATTGCTAATTTTAACTTCATTTGATTAGCTACATTATTTATTTACTAAAATAAAGTGTAATATCATATTTTTTTCTAATTAAATTCATGTCAGCATAGATATAATATATTGTTTATCCTCTCTTTTTGTTGTCACTTTGCACCTGTCTCTTGTCGCATCATTATGTGCCAAACACCCTGTCTGCAAAATGGGGTCAGTCATCCCTTTGTTATCATTTCACTTTGATCATGCAGGTGCGAGGTAACGCGGGTGCTTCTTTTGATGATCCTTCAACCAACGCCCCAGAAACTGACGCCCGAGCTTGGCAGCTTGCTCGAAAAATATGCGTGGGCTGAAAACAACCCGCAAACAGGTATGGCAATAGTGTCACAATAAACAATTTTATGAGTCACAGTCTGCAAATTACAAACAGGAGTTTTGTCAGAGGACCTCTTCCTGCTACTGCAGTCGGTCGTGATGGCCTGTCAAACAAAAGATGTCCAGGCGTTGTACAGTTTAGAGGCAGATCTGCAAGAACACCTTTCTGCAGAGCAGATGGATCTCATGCACATTTTGATCAAAGTCATGGAGCATAAATGAATATTTTTTCCTCATTCCAGAATTTTCTTCTGTGGTCTGTTGAAATTAATAATAATAAACATATACGTAGCTGTTCAATGTTAACTACACTATCTCAATAAATGATACTTCCAAGGGATTAAAACGGTATGATTCATTCTGTATAATATCAGTAGATATTAAGTTTACGTTATCACATTATTTATCTGATCAAAAAAATGCGTAATTTATTTTCTTTCTGTTGATCTTGAAGATTATTTGATTCATTTGTTTTATATTTGATATATAGAGAGGATGGTTTTAAAGTAAAAGATGGTTGTTTTTAAGAATTTTATACATATTTATTGAAGCTTTGATCTTGAGAAGCTTTGATAATAATTTATTAATTAAGAGTAGTTGACAAATGTCATGAAAGTTTTGATCGCCCAAGCAGCCGAACGACCAACCATACACACTTATCAACAAAAAATGCAGTGAGATTGCCCCGTGTGTGCCGGTTACTTTTCTGCCCCGGGGCCGTTTCTTTTTCTGGAAATAATACTGGGCCGCTGGGACGATCACTTTGGTGGTGGTTCTGATTGTGTGAACCCTACAGCCGGTGCACTTGCATGGTTAAATATTCATATTTTACAATGGAATTATCAAGATTGAGCTTGGAATGGACAAGCACTTCGTCTTTTTGCAAAATTTCTTTTCAAATTGGAGAACCCCCGCGGTTACGGTAACAGTCTCTTTCACGTCAGTTGCGTCCAAAATTAGCACAGGTCGCTCGATTTAATTTTTACCGGCAACTGGCTACTTTCGGAGGCAACGATTACAAAAAAACAAACAAGGAATGCTCTGAAGTGGGAAGGAGTTCTGCTGTTATTACAAAACGATGGATCGTAGGGGTTCCATTGACTCGAACATAAGAGAAAAATGTAGGAGAAAGGAGTGTTTTAAAAGGCTTAGAAGCATTTCCTGTGCACGATGGAGGGGCCGGACTCGTCGTATTCCTGCTTCGAGATCCACATCTGCTGGAAGGTGGACAGGGAGGCAAGGATGGAACCTCCGATCCAGACAGAGTACTTCCTCTCAGGGGGAGCAATGATCTTGATCTTCATTGTGCTAGGGGCAAGGGCAGTGATCTCCTTCTGCATTCTGTCGGCAATGCCGGGGTACATGGTGGTGCCTCCGGACAGGACAGTGTTGGCGTACAGGTCCTTACGGATGTCGACGTCACACTTCATGATGGAGTTGTAGGTGGTCTCGTGGATGCCGCAGGCTTCCATGCCCAGGAAAGAGGGCTGGAACAGGGCCTCGGGGCAACGGAAGCGCTCGTTTCCGATGGTGATGACCTGTCCGTCGGGAAGCTCGTAGGACTTCTCGAGGGAAGAGGAGGAGGCGGCGGTGGCCATCTCCTGCTCGAAGTCAAGGGCGACATAGCACAACTTCTCCTTGATGTCACGAACGATTTCTCGCTCGGCGGTGGTGGTGAAGCTGTAGCCACGCTCAGTCAAGATCTTCATCAGGTAGTCAGTCAAGTCGCGGCCGGCCAAATCCAGACGCAGGATGGCGTGGGGAAGGGCATATCCTGATAAACGAACATAAAATTTAGTCACAAGTTCAAATTACTGGCTCAAAGGGTTTTACCTTCATAGATGGGCACTGTGTGGGACACACCATCGCCGGAGTCAAGCACAATACCAGTGGTACGACCAGAGGCGTACAGGGACAGCACAGCCTGGATGGCGACATACATGGCTGGGGTGTTGAAGGTCTCGAACATGATCTACAAAAAGAAAAAACATAATATTAGTAAACTTGATTTTTTTTTTCGAAAGTTTGTTGGATATAATTTTTTAGACAAATTTTTTTTTAATAAAATGGTGATTATTCAAGAAATTTAAACTTCTAAAGAGGGAAAATTTTGAATTCTAAATTTTTCACTTAATCATCAAATTTTTAGTTACAAGGAAGAGCTGCGAATTTTATTAAATTACCTGAGTCATCTTTTCACGGTTAGCCTTGGGGTTGAGGGGAGCCTCTGTGAGGAGGACGGGGTGCTCCTCGGGGGCAACACGCAGCTCATTGTAGAAGGTGTGATGCCAGATCTTCTCCATATCGTCCCAGTTGGTGACGATGCCGTGCTCAATGGGGTACTTCAGGGTGAGGATACCACGCTTGGACTGGGCCTCGTCACCCACATACGAGTCCTTCTGGCCCATGCCGACCATCACACCCTGATGCCTGGGGCGGCCCACGATGGATGGGAAGACGGCGCGGGGAGCGTCGTCACCGGCGAAACCGGCCTTGCACATGCCGGAGCCATTGTCAACAACGAGAGCAGCAACTTCCTCGTCACACATGTTGGTTAGTTAATAGGAAAGCTGCAAACAAAAAAGGGGTAAATTTTAAAACTTCAGTCTTGACAAACGAGTGGGCGATGGACAGAGAAATAGAGAGTCTCGGAGACCGGCAGACCGAATAGGGAAGTTCGTTGGAATCGAGACCATCGAGAGTAGAGGCGGCGAACCCACATTAACCCCACACACGTGGCCTAATAAAGACGAGCCACACCCAACCCTCGCGACCAAGAAAATGGTGAGTGGAAATTGCGGGTTTTGCGTTTTCCTGCCACCGACCGGAATTTCTGCGGTTTGCAAACAAAATTGTCACCGATAAAAGCCGACTTGCGGTGTTTTTCGGATTGTTTTTTAAAGGGTCAATACCTTCTACTACCTTCTACAAGTAATCTTTAAAATTTTGAGCTAGAAAGAGTTTTATAGAAATAAAAATTGTTTACGAATTAATACTTCAGTTCTGAAAGGAAGGAATTTAAATGAGCGGTTAAGTTGATTAAAATGGTTTGTTTTAAACTTGTTATATAAGATATTAATTGAAGGGAACTAAAATTTAAAAAAAAAAATTTATTAAAAATTAAAAAGCTTTCAAAAGTGACAGCCGTGTCCGAAGTTTATACTAACGATTCGCAACGAAAAATAATCCGGTGGGCAAGGCGCGGTGGCACGAGAGAACTTAGTAGCACTAATAGCGAACGGAGGAGTTGGCGCAACTTCAAACTTCAACTTACTGGCTGTACAAATAATTTACAAGAAGAATATCACACACAAAGGATCGTTCGAACCTTTGCAAGAGCACACGTTAGACTGGAGTTAAAGGGCCTGGTGCTGCACCATATAGCCAGACCCTTTGCATGGACTCCCCTCCCTCCCCCACCCCCCATTCGACCAATCGCCGCGCTCATTGCCTTATTTGGAATGTGTCTGCACTCTTGGTACTGATAAAACAATTCGGTCACTGGGATTTTGGTTGAACGCGATTAATTTTTACCACAATTAGCTGGGAACTGATTGGCTGGCTAGAGAACAATATCAACTTATATGGTGCAGGTGCACGCCCTCGAGAGAGTCGAATCAAAAAATTTATTTATACCAGGAAAAATGGAATGAAATTCGTGTAACTAATTTAAACGGAATTTTATCTGCCATATAAAGTATTTTGTATTGATTTATTCCTAGGGTGGTAATTAATTGCAGTGCCTTTAATTAAGGGCACGGCGCGTCTGCCGCCATGACGAAAACCACCGGCTTCGTTTTAGAGGCATGGCGGCGGTCTGATCTATTTTAGGGCCGCGTAAGACCGACAACCACCTGCCGAAACAGCCTGACAGCCGCGTGGCCCACCTGTTAGGCGGCCGAAACGTTTAAATCGGAAATTAACCGCCGAACGACCAGTCGGTGTGCGAAAAGGAATTTGGCGCGGCGAGCCGGCGCCCACCCGGGTGACCGCGTTTTTATCTCGCCCGAATTACTGATAATAAAAGCGATTGCCGGCAATAATGATGATTAAATTGAAGAGCGCATGCTGATTAGGCATGAGATAATACAAGGAAGCGGGTTTGATAGGAAATTGACGCGATTTGGACTCACCTTTGAGCACAGGAGGACCAGCAGGAGAAGCCGCAACACAAACTTTGCCGCAAGTGAACGAGCGGTCGTTGAGCGAGCGGCGTTCGTAGAATGGACTCGTCCAACTGGGGGCGGAACCTTCCAGCAAAATTTCAATTTTGGCAAAATTCGCGGATAAATTTTTTTTCAAATTTTTATTTGTGCATTTTTAACTATTCTCGATTCATTTAATTCGAATTCGGGCTGAATTTAATTGAAATGGGTGGGAATCATTAATCGAGAATCTGCGGAACCCCCCTCGTCACAGTGGAAGCGGCCCGCACAACTCTACTACCATATATGGGCATAAAACGAATGTGGCGTTCTGATTGGCGGAGAGCCCAAGAAGCCGGTACGAGCCGTTTGCTTGGCCTGGCTAGTGGCGGTTCATGAATCGCTTGCTCGAATACATACTACACAGCCTGTGACACGTTTGCATAATTATGTGTGCATGATTTTGACGCGTCTCGCGATTGATGATGAGCGCATCGCCGTGCAAAAATTTCCCGCGAATTTTTCTACCGCACCCCGAAGTGCGCGGCTCCTCCGAATTCCTCTCTCTCAACACCTCACATGACACGTGTGTGTTAAAATTCGGATCGAAATTAACACGACGGCCTAGTTTCTTTAATTTCCCTGCGTTGGAGTCTCTTTGCTCGCGAGAAGGAAAAAATAAATATAATAATTAATAGGATCGGCTGCGGGCAGGTCGGGTGCAGATTGGAATGCAGAGGAGAATTATTAATAATAAAAAGGTGCACAGGGAGGGCAGTGGGGTGTGTCTGTCTGGCGGTTAATCAATACTCGCGGCGTGCTCGGATCTCGCATCTCGAAAAACCACTTGCCCCATCACACCGATTTTGTACACAATAAAAATAATACATACAGAAAGAATGTCCCCTTTTTCTCGTGCTTAGATATCTCGGGGGCAAATTGATTGTGATTGACAGTGATCTTGCCCTCTAATTGAAATTAAACATAAGCCGACATTTCATTTTTTGCCTTATATGTTCAGAGGCAAAAAGTAATTATTATTTTGAATTAAATAAAAATAAGTAAAATACAAAATGTAATTTAAAATTTTTTTAATTTAATTTAATTCTGTATCAACTTGATCAAAATTATTAAATATTATTACAATTCTTAAATCTAATTTTTGGGCTTGGTATTTTTGTTCGGCTCTATATGGTACAAGAAAATTTTAATAATTTGGAAATTTTTCCAGCAAATTTATTTCGTATGCTTTGCGAGAATGGCCTCCAAAGAAGCAAGGACAAAAAGATATGAGCTTGGGAGGCGCTATTATTTTTTGTTCTTTTTGAGCCTCGTCCGTGGCACGCAGGGCAAAATGCACGCCAGACCGACAATAAGAAGCACAAACTAAAAGGAAATTCTCCTCCATGATATTATATCAGCGTAGCGTAGCACCTGTCATGGTCTTTCCTAAAAAGAAGCTCTTCGCCGGCAGCAGTTGGCGTCAAAAGCAACAGTCAACGGACTTTTTGTGTTTTTCCACGCGTCTATTTATGGTGAATACGCCACACCAGCGCGCACCGGCCACTTGTACATATCATACCTAACAGGACAAAGATAAACGCTAAAGGAGCTTGGTCACTTGAGAATTTTATTCAAAAACCTCGGGACACGTTCATACAAATAAAATTCCAAAATGTCAGCGCCGTAATTGGAATTAACAAGGCTATACGAAATTTTAACAATTCTCTTTATAGAAAATGCGTTAAAGTTGGTAGAATTCCATTTTACCTTTAATATATTTTGTATTCGCATTTTAGAAACTAATTTAATTCAACAACTAAATAATCAGCAACTAAAGAAAATGAGAATAAATAAAATAAAGAAACAGGGTCGAGTCGAAACACCTGGACCAAGTAAGAAACAACTGTGGGCCATTTATCGAATACCCGTCTCATGTGAAAAGCCGTTCACATTTTTGCATTAAACATCCTTCCTTTCAACTTTCCATCCCGAGACACTTCTTTCGCCTCTGCCGCCGCCGCCGCTTCTCTTTTGTACAGTTATAAAAACGTGTGTGCGTTGTGCTCTCTCGAAAATCCTTTCACATCGTGGCCAGCTTGGAATAAAAGAAAGAGCCAAACTTATAATAAATCTGCGAGGGTCCCTGCGAGCACGACGTTGACCACGATAAACAAAAATACATATAACGAGAGAGCGCCAACGACTCTACGGCGGCGCCTCCCACACCTGGAGCAACTGCGCGTTTCAGAGATTTTGGAGATTTTCGCAGATAGGTCTGCTTCTGAGGTCGGATGTGCAAATGTGTAAAAATGTGCGGCCCATAATGAGAGTGAGCGCGCCACCTTGACCCAGAATGAGAGAGGAGCAGAGGATAAAAAGAATTATGTCAACTCGCCATATAAGGCTGGCGCAGGCACCTAACGGGCCGTGAATACGCGAGACGAATAAACGAAAGCAAAAGTGCGAGTGGGTAAAAAAATTGGCTTGGCTGGCGGTTGAAAAGCAGCCCTCGATTGCTGCGTACTCGGTCTCGCACTGGTCACGAGATCTTGTTTAAATTTACACAAGAGAAATTGAGCATTGGCTACAATTGGCAAAAATTTTCAATTTAAATTTAAATTCTTCAAGGTTAATTTCACTAAAGCACACACATTGCAGAATTTGCTTTTTTATGCTTTAATTGCTCTATAGAAATCAGTTGCGACAAATCGAGGCCTGCTAATTAATAATATCAATTCTTTTTCTATTTGTAATCAAAGTATTTATTTTGTACACGTCTTATGCAAAATTCTCTTAGTCTTTACTAATCATATATTATTATATCATTTGAGTTGAACACTCAAATATTAAGTCTTCAATCAAGGCATTACAACATCTCTACTTACTAACCATTTCCATTCTGCAAACTTGAGCAATGCCATAAAAATTTTGTTGCATTTAAGTACAAAAAAATTTAAACAATTTTTTTGTTTAATTTAGATAACTAAATTTTAATTTAAAATTTTTTTTCTTAGCAACTATACACTGTTCAAACCAAATAATAGCTCAATAAGTTTTTAACTGCAATTTAAATCATGTAAAATTAAAAAAGAATTAAATATTGAGTATTTCTTATTGATGGCAATACAATGTACACACATAAAAATTAAACAAAATTTTTAATGTTCTGAACAGAGGGAAATGAATCTCCGGAAACAACAAAATCTCCAAACGATTTCCCCCTTTGCACTGTTTTGTCATTTTTTCCACGGCATAATAATTCCCACAGATATAAAAACGTCAATGTAGAAATGATACTCTCGGGACCTCAAAAGAGCACCAGGTTTATCTCACTCAGAACATTTCAGTTTCACTCCTTGTTTTGTATTATTGTTGACACCTTTCAAGCCAAAGCACAGGTAGGTTGGCAAGGGGTCGTGGATTTATTTGCAAAAAATCAGGTGAAAAGAACACAAAATTTGACGGATTTTGGCGTGGAAAAAACTCGGAAAAGTCAAAAGCTTTCCCGGAAAAACGCTACTGTAGTTTCAACTTAAAAATGGAATATCTCGGGTTCTAATTGAGATACAGAAATGCGGCTAGCACCAAAAATTTTCTTTTTACCTCCTCTTCAATCCTGAGGGGTCAAATAATCCAGAGGTCAAAGGTCAAGGTCATTTTTCAGGGGTCACAAGTACAAAAAAAATTCTAGCAAAAATATGCCACCTTCGATTGGGCTGAAATTTTTTTCTAAGATAGTCCTAACATGTAGGAACAACATATTAAAAATTCAGAATGGCATATTTTTTAGATTTTTTATAAAAAAATCACAAAGGTAAAAAAACGTGAATTTTTCGTATTTTGCCAATGGTCGGATATTGATTTTTAGAATTTTTAAGAAATTTTTTGAAAATTTAGGAATTTTTTGTCAATAAATAAATAAATTTACCCAATTTAGATACGTACTTTCTCAAAATAAATTTTTGATCATGAGCAAAATGCGAAAAATTCACGTTTTTTTACCTTTGTGATTTTTTTATAAAAAATCTAAAAAATATGCCATTCTGAATTTTTAATATGTTGTTCCTACATGTTAGGACTATCTTAGAAAAAAATTTCAGCCCAATCGAAGGTGGCATATTTTTGCTAGAATTTTTTTTGTACTTGTGACCCCTGAAAAATGACCTTGACCTTTGACCTCTGGATTATTTGACCCCTCAGGATTGAAGAGGAGGTAAAAAGAAAATTTTTGGTGCTAGCCGCATTTCTGTATCTCAATTAGAACCCGAGATATTCCATATTTAAGTTGAAACTACAGTAGCGTTTTTCCGGGAAAGCTTTTGACTTTTCCGAGTTTTTTCCACGCCAAAATCCGTCAAATTTTGTGTTCTTTTCACCTGATTTTTTGCAAGTAAATCCACGACCCCTTGCCAACCGACCTGTGCTTTGGCTTGAAAGGTGTCTGTTGCCACCGCCGCCGCTCTCTTTGCAGCCATAAACTTCACCTTGATAATGAGAAAGAAACTTTTTCTCAGCAGCCGCTGCGTCGAGAATAAATTATTATTTTCTCATCCGACATTGAATGCGAATTCTTAAACTCCATCGTCGATGGTAGTTGCATGTGTTCCAAGTAGGTGAAAATGATTTCTATATCATAAAGCACCATGAAGAGGTGCTGGCGATGCAGAATTTGCTCCGATGTAGAACAAGAACAGCCATGAGACGATGAAGACGAGCTCGAGGAATGTAGATTAATTTCTCTTTGATGGCGCCTAAATTAGACTGTAGATTATATTCACCGCTTGGGTTCCTTTACTGGATCTCGTTTATACATTTTTTAAGTTCTCCCATGCAGAGGAAATTAGACTGGCGTGAAAATCGTTAATTTTTAATTAGCCAGAGAAATAATTATCTGTCCAAATGGAAAGAAGAACCAAACTTTCTCGCATCAAAAAATATTCTCAATATTTTTAGTTATTTTTATATCTCTCTAAAAGTTTTTATTTCTGACTTCTATCATTTCTAAAAATGATGGATAAATTTGTTGTTGGCTCAGAGAGAGGCGCAGAGGGCAAATCAAATAACCGCCGAAAGCTTCGATTTTTTTCACTTTTGCTACACACTGGAGTGTGTCTGATGTGTCATCATTTTGGACCGTTGGAGTGGCCTTCAAAGCTTACTATGGCTGATAAATTGCAGCCAGAAGCACATCCTTTAGGATTAGATCATCAATCCTTGTAACCGCCATCCTTCCGAAATAATATTCCATCCGCACACTTTATTTGGCGACAGACAGCTCCAAAAATTTTACTTGCAAAGTATTAACTAATTATAAATTTTTTCTGATTTCCGGTACCAGACTCACAGAATGAAAAGATATTTATTTTAGCCGTGTGCATAATGCGCAGAAGAAAATGTTCCGAGTTCCGACGCGAAAAGCTCCTCAAAAAGTATTATATTGGACAGAGTTGTAATCAAAAACTTTCGTCACACACTTTTCCCTCTTATCACTTACAAAAGGAAAATGTGGGCCAAAACGCAGCCATGAAATTATCAAAGCAAGTCCAACGTCACAGGGGAAAATATACTGAGCAAGAAAAACAGGATAAAGTGATTTCTTAATAATAAACGCGTCAACGTGTGCTTCTTTGCAAAAGGGAAAACAATATAATAGAAGCGGATTCTTGCAAGATATTTTGTATATTTTGCTAATAATTTTATCATGTGGACTACTTAATAGTTTTTTAACAAACAAGAGAGGAAATATTGAAATTTATTTTCGACAGAAACATCCTGTTGCCTGTTATATGGTTTTGAAAATTCGAAAGACGAAAAACAGCTTAGTGACATCATACATAGCAAACAAATAATCATCGTTTGCTTTGGAATATCAGGTGACAAGATTTACAACTTTTCTCATACCTTTTATCTCTCTTACGAAAATAACGCTTTTGAAATTTGCTGATAAAGATAGGATTTTGAATGGTTCTGAAAATTTTATCAAAATTATGACGAAACAAGGAAATCTCTGTAGACAAAAGATATTTTCAGCAGCTGGTGAATTTTATTTGGCGGACAAGACGCAGAAAGTGCGAATATTCATCGAGCCACGGTGGCGACGGCGCCTTGACCCACAAAATGTGCACACATGGCGCGATCGAGCTGGGCGACGTCGCGCTTAACATATTATTTGTCGAGTGTTGACCCTGGCCAGGGTCGATTTTACTCCGCAGTGCCGGCCGATCATCGCCAAATATAGCAATGCAGATGGATGCATTATGTGTGAGGCAATCAATTATATTAGCACAGCTATACTCAGCGCGCGATGCAAAGTCATTTCACTTTTAACGCCTTTTATGAGAGGGTGTTTGTTTCTCTTGATGGCCTCAAAAGGACACACGCGATTCAAAACAGCAGCTGCCAGGCAAATCGGCTAAATTTTGGTTTCTCCGTCCAGCACCATTGAAATCATTTTCAGACCACCGTCAGAGGCAGGGCAATTTGCCTAATTGGCTTTTTAGGTGAACGCAATTTTGTCGAGTTTGCCAAAGTGAACAGAGGGCTAGTGAGAGATCAAGTACTGAGCAAACACACACACCGCAGACAAAATTGCTCCCGCAAACACAATTTGCGCATCAGATGCGATGAAGAGAGCAGAGAAATATACCGCAGAGGGCATTATCACACAAGTGTGTTGATTTACCCTTTCATAGTCATCGATTATAATATGAAGAGATCAGGCAAAAATGCCGGATCCCTTTCTATACACAAATTTAAAAAGCATTTGTGCGTTTGTTCTATAATAAAGTTGAACAGAAATGAAAGTTATAAAAACAGTATTTCAAAAGGATATTATTTATATGTAATAATGTATGAAAATATATATTTTGAAAAATTGCATCATCTCAAATCCTCGCCTCTATAGTCTGTACCAAAAAAAAAGCAAAATTTGATGCAACGCTGGAGACGTTAAAGAAAATGTGTTTAGAGCGCAATCTATAATACATCATTAAATTTTAAAAGTAAATTGATATATTATCGTGTGATTCAGATTTGCACATCTCCGCAGTAAGAAAAAATCAATTTATTTGGTTAATTTACAAATTTGAAATAAAGATTGAAGAAATTTAATGTGCTTTAGCCTGATGTTGCATATATTCTCATATGCAATCTGAAAAATTCCTTTTTTTTATTTTTTTTTTATTTTTGCTGCAAGAAGTCACTGCACTCTAATGGAGTACGTGTACCTGACGTGTGAAATTAATTGCATGTTTTGTTTGCACAGAAAAATATTTTTTGTCAAGCAAATGATATGCCTGATAGAGAAATCGTCGATTTCAAAATCATTTATGCAAGAAAGGAGGGATGATAAGAAACAAAAATATATTATTTTTGAGCACCCCGCAGCTTCACCAATACCCCAAAACAAAGAAAGCACCTGTGTATAAAAGGGCCATACGCAGCCACAACAAGTCACCTAATACCTAATACCTCTTGAGCAGCACTACAAACAACAAATAATGAGCAATAAGGTAAATTCAATTATTTTAAATATTTCAATAACAAACAGTGATTTAAAACTCAATTCATTGTTTTATTCAAATAAGAATGTGATTTAATTGATTTATAATTTTTGATATTAATCATTGAACCATTATGAAGTTTCCATTGAAAAATTGATTTTACAAGTATTTTTTTTAATATAAAAGAAATTGATCAAACTTCTAACTCTATAATTTTTGTCAGGTTCTTGTCCTTGGAATATTCGCACTAATTGTGAGCTGCAACTGCGGCCCAATTGCCACCGACGCACCCGTTATTAAGGGTGCAGCATCTAGTCTGCCACCTACAACCGCCAAGCAAGCGACTGTCACAAATAATGCAACTCAAACCACCACCAAGCCGGCAGCAGCTCCCGGGGCACCTCCAGCAATCAAGCCCAGCCCTGTACCTGTCGCTTCTTCCACTGCCAAGCCTCCGACTACAAATGCAACCCCTGTGAAATCCCAAATGCAGGCAAACTCCAATACTGCCAAGCCCTCTTCCCTTGCTCAAACAAACTCCAACATGAAGCATTAGTCGTTGCAATTAAAAAATTGCACATATTAATAAAATGCATGTAGTATTGAAAATAATTCTGACAGAAATATAATTTATTATTTCTTCTGTAGTTAAAAAGAATAAAAAGAAGACAAAGATCTCTGTGAATTTATTCACCAATTTGTTGGATATATAATTTCGTTTTATATAATTAAATTTAAATTTAAAGTTTTAGACATATTATACGGATTTTTAAAATATTATTTGCTGCTTCAATTAAAAACAAAACAGCTAGCTATCAGCAACACACCACCAGCAGGATTTTTGTGTTTGGGCTCTTAACAATTTGCGGTTCTCTACTTCCGTTTTCTCGGCTACTGTGGTCAACAATCTCTTGCGTCTTATCAAATTGAAAAGGCATTTTTACAGAACAGCCTGGTGATTTGTGAAAAAGTTTGAGGTTTTCTCTTATAAATAAGGAAAATGAGGTTTTTGTTGCCTGGTACAAAAGATTATCTAAAAATTGCCAGGGCAAGCCCCAAGAAAAGCCGGAATTGAACAAACAAAAGCGAGCAAGCAGAAAAGGCTTTGAACTTGATCCAAAAATCCTATATGAAAACGCTCGACTTTGAGAGAGTTAATAAAATATCACAGCAGACACACAAAAGCGGCAATTATTTTATTAAGAAAGGCAGCGATGTGAGACTTGCGTTTTCGTGCAGCTCGACAAGATTTAATAAAGGGCCATTTCACATAACATTTAGAACAAACATGCTCCTGCTGTAACACGATAATTGTTGCATCTAGATTGCTGGAACACTTTGAGCCCAATTTATCTTTTACATAAGAGAGGGACTGTTTTGATTTTGTCTGCTGATAAGGCACTTAACAGTTTTAAACGTTTATCAAGTTTATTCCGTGTATATGTCATTTTGCTGCTCTAATGGCTTCAGGAAAATAATTGAGCGATAGGCGTTGTCATCTGATTTATGAATTTGACATCGAGACTTGTTCAACGGGAAGCATAAAGTGATAGAAAATCAGAAAAGCGGCTGGGTTCATTCACGTGGCCATGGCTGCGAAGCCTCGCAAATCCACCCCTGCAGTATGGCCTAAAAAACACCGGCGTCAATATGTGAGGTGTCGAATTGAAAGATACCCCTAGTGACGTCAGTGGTGTTCGCACACGTGACAATGGAAAAATGCTAATTGCCTAATATTGGACTACTTAAGCTCCAAGCCTTGAAGGTGAGGACACTTTCTCTGGCCAGCACCGCGTGATAACAGGTTGATAAGAATTTTTTACTGCGCCAAACAATTATATTCAAGCGAAACTTCCATGTCAAGGGAATGAAAATTAGTCTACAGAAGGTTAAAAAACGCCGTTTTCTTTTCTGAAAAATGCGACCCATATTTATGATTTTCAAACTGGTTGCAAAATTTTTTAGAATTTGATTGCTATTGAATTTTCATGTTTTTTTAATTAGCAATAAAAACACTGTTTTAAAAAGGCAAAATTTTGACAAAAGTATTAGTTATTTAAATTATGTTATTGAACAGAACACACTAAAAATAAATTATAGAAAATTCAAGTTGAAAACTCATATGCAGAAGTAGCAAAGTTTAATAGAAAGAAAAACAAATCAACCCACTCAGAAATGTCTAGCTGAAAAATAGCGCGGGAGAAAATATTGTAGATTTATTATTCAGTCCAGCACCCCGACTGAACAGCAATATAAGAAAGCGTTTTGGTAACCCAGGTAAAAAAATATATATATTTATGGCTTCCTCTCCCTCTTGTTAACAATATACACAGAACATACAACAGCGACCATGCATTTCACAAAGGGAACGAAAGTGCGCCCAGAATTTGTAATGTTCATTCTTCTTGCTACAGATCGCTATATCTCTTGGAAGGAGCGCAGTGAAGTATTTTTTGCTGTTCTCATTTTCCTCATTCTTGGAAAAAATGTTATTTGCCATAACCTTTCTAGACGGACACAGGACAAGGTGCATTATTGATTTTATAAGGATATCTTTTTCACGAAAAAAAAACATGCAGGGAAAACCAAGGGGGCCTAAATATTTTTTTTAAACTCTCTCAATTGTTTAAATATTTTTTCTCTAAAATGATGTGCTGCATCATACATAGTACACCTTAAACAAAGGTGGGTTTCTCCTCCATAAAAAGAGCGAATTAATTTAAGTCCATCAATAAAAATAGCCTCACCAACAGGTGCGAGTCTTAGGTCGCGTGTCTGGTGAATGGGCGAGTCATAATTATTTATTGGAACGGTGACGTCACCTTGTTCACCTTACGCATTCATTTTCCAGTAAATGACGTCAACTTCGCCGACACACAAAAACGTTCCTTGAATTTTATTCCGTATTCCCTTAGCAAAGGATTAAAAATGTGTATATAACATATTCACAGTTCTGTTAGTAAATTTTGCAGTATTTTATTTTTGTTGAAATTAAAACAAACTGATTGCTTTTTTTAGACATTCTATTAATTTAAATACACTTTTGAAGCATATAGGATCTAAAATTAAATGTGGATTTAAAATTTATTGTTTAGTTTCATGAACCAGAACACATTCTTTTTTTATTATATAATATTGTTACAAAATTTCCAAAAAATTTTAGGATTCAGTCATTATTTTACTGGATTTAAAATTAGGATGGCAAAAAACTGATGTTTGAAATAAGCAAATATGAAACCATCTTCATCTGATCTTCATTTCCAATAAACTCTTGTTATTAAAAGGACGTTGAAGTAGTGTTGAAGTTTATTTTCATGTAATTTTTTTCATGGCAAATATTATGTAACTTTCGTTAATAATTTAATAGCTACATATATTCACAATCAGCTTCGGTCGCACAAAATTACAGTAAATTACATTTGAGCAAAACGATCATTATAAAAACTATTTAGCAGCACTCATACTAAAGCCCATATAAGAAAACTAAAACCATGCAGAAAGGTGGAATTTCCTTGACAGTTAAAAATACGTGAAAAAGATTTTTGATGGCAACATATCGGAAACTATTCTTGATGATATTCACCTGGTCAGTCAGGATGAGAGATCAGAAAGGTGCTGAAAGACCTTTTGGGCAGACATGAACATGGTGGTGTTGAGACCGAACCTTTTCTTTTCGCCGAGACTGAGGGTGCTGGCGGGGGATATGACGTGCAGGTGGATGTGCGGCACCGTGGTGCGTGGGGGCACGTGGAATCCAAGTCTCGAGTCATTCAGGTCTGCACCCCTCTCAGCCAGAACTTGCATGCCGACGTCCACCATGCCCTGCACCTTTGGCAGATCATCTTTCCGCAGGCTCAGGACGTCACGTATGTGATTCCGCGTGACCACCAGCAGGTGATGTCGAGCCACTGGACGATGGTCAGCAAATGCAACAAAGTCTTCATCCTGAAAAAAATTTGAAAAAATTACTTATAATAATATTTTATAAATATAAATTTTATTTTATTAGAAAAAGTTATAAGCAATTTTGGGGGATTTTTTTTTTTTTAAATTGAAGCATTAATGGGGTGTTACATAAATGTATTAATTGTAAATTATTTCATTTATTACAATTAAAAAGAAAATTATATACTTGGTAAAAAATTTCATTCTCCTCCTTTCCGTCGAATATGCGGCAGAAAATGCACGAGTCCCTGAGACTAGCTGGTCTTCTTGGTGTTTGGTACTGATGGAATTGTGGTTGTTGAGGAACTTCCCAGGGCGAAGGGAGTCCATGATGGGCCGTGAAGGGCGGAAACGCATACGAATCCGTGGCCGCAAAGTCCACAAATCCTTGGTCAGCAAAGTACGGGGCCGGATACCGAGAATACGCATCCCACGAGGGTGGTTGCAACTCTCGATAGTCTCGATTCCATTCGGGCTCGTAAGGTTGCTGATGGAATGCTGGATATTGGCCCGCAAAGCCGTGGTTTGTCCACGCAAGTCTGCAGTCGCAGAATGGTCCATGGTCAAATTGTCCCGGATACATTGATTTTCACTGAAAAAACCTCCTCAACAACCTGGAGAAGCGCAAATTTGCAAGCGTGCGAGCGGACGAGAAGACAAAACAAGAGACGAAAGAATGACGTCAGTGACGTCACTCGAAAAAGATGCTCTCGCTGCACGTTTTGCTCCAACTTGCTGCACCGTGTTGGGGAAGGGAAAGGCCAGGGGAAAGGTCTCTTTTGGCTCGCTGGCGCCGTCACACGACAAAAGAAAGAGCGAAAAGATTCATACTTACAAATTTATTGAAAGAAATCTTGGAGAGAGCAGCAGAGAAACAATTTAAAGAATAACATTTTGGTAAAATAGTAATGAAGTTAACTTTTTGCTACCTTTTTGGAAAAAATGATAAGATTTTGCTCGAGAAGAAAAACAGAAATAATTATTGTTGTCTCGAATTCGCTCAAGCAATGTTTAAAAATTAATACGAAATTTGAACAAAACTTTCAGAATCTATGCAGTAATTACTACATCATTGACTGCAATATTAAATTATAAATTTTCGGTTTTATTTCTATTCATTTATTTTTGTATAATTCGGTATAATTAATACAAAACTAATTCGGCGAAATAATTTATTTAAAAAATTTCATTTTATCCATTCTTCTTGGCAGTAAAACAATTGGATAAAATTAAATTACCAAAGAATTAGTAAATAATAATTATGCTTGCTTTGAGAGTAATCAAATTGTATTTTTGTAATCGTTCATTAATTCAATGATCATTATCAGGGTACTTACAATGAGAAGAATAATTTAACACTGCATTAAGTACAGTTTAATCATTTCAATTATAATTATGTTCTTTTGAAAATTTACTAACATAACAGCAAATTCTCAATTATTTTCGTTTCAGTAACTTCAATAATTCAGAGAAATTAATCATTTTCCTCTTATGTGGTTAGGAAGGTGAATAATATATTTTGACGTTGATTTATTTATCAAAAACTGTGGTTTAGGCCCAGCACATTATGCGGCTTGTGGAGTGGAAATACCATAAATGGAAAAAAATATCAAAAAAAGCAAAGCGCAAGACAAACATACAACGCCGCGGCAAAAGCAAGCCGTGGACGTAATGCCGCATAATACCAAAAAGAATGTGATGAGCTGGCTGCTCGCCTCTGTCTTGCTAAAAGAATTACATTAAATTTATAGCGCCGCATGTGCAAGCGAGGTTAGCGCCCCACATGCGCCCTCATGTCGCGTGAAAAATAATGTCTCTTTTAAGTCTCAAAAGTATCAGAATCTCTAACCACCATGCACATTCAATTTTGTCAAAAGAAAATTGAGAAAAGTATTAATGCACAATATTTTTAACGGTATCTTAAAAATGGGGGCTTTTTGCTTTTTTTCTCATTATTTCCGAGGAAATTATGCAAAGTAAGGAATGAGTTTTAAATGCTTTTATTATTTTTTAGAGAAGTATTAAGCAAAATCATTCTATTGCATTCTATTACAATTTTATAATAAATTTATTGCAATAAAAAGAAAAAATATCAACATTTTAAATTTGAAATGACAATAACAATAAAATAATTTAATGTTAGTTTGGCAAGCATGAAAATGTTAATTTCAAAATCAATTTATTCAATAGTAGCAGAAATAATTAGGTTTATTTGAGATTCATGGCCATTTCTGTGTAAATTTTTTTTAAATTAAATTCTATTATCTAATTTATTTTTACTATTTTTAACAGTTCTGTATCATATTTTTTTCAGAAACTTCGGTGGCATTTTTATCAGCCGCACGCTTAAAAAGCTCCGCCAGCTTCCAATAATCGCCAAGGCAAATATTGTAAAGTGTAAACTTTGAGGCTACCATAAATTATAAAAGTAGAGTTAATTCGAACCAAAACGCAGCAAAATGCTTTGCGGGCGTTAAGATAGCACTTTTACAGCTTCTTTCCTAACGCCGATTTCCAACTACTGCCAAAATTTATACCTCTGCCTTTATGCAGTGACACCTAATACACGTAAACGGCCAGAAAAAAAATGAAAACGACGCTTCCTTTTATAAATTAATTAAGAAAAACGTTGGTCAATTGGGACAGAATACATTATTTCCTCATAAGATAATATTTCTGATTCTTAATAACAATGAAATTTTGAAGAAGACAAAAAGTTAAATGACGAGCGTAATTTGAAAATAATTGTTGTAATTAGAACTATTATTAATAAACAGCACGTTACATCCTGAGTAAAACAAATCGGCTATGCAATTAAAAAATGAAACTCTTGTCGTCTCCAGCACGGAATGCTTGATATTTATATAATAATATGTGTGCGGAGGTTTGAAATTCATTGCGAATGGCGAGTGAGCAAAACAATATCCGCTGAGGAGAAGAGGAAAGAAGAGCTGCACTTGGCTGCCTTTAGTGCACGAGAGAAATCTGCTGTACGCACTACATTGCCTGCGAGTTATCCCACTTTGGCCGTGAAGCAGTTTCAAATAACAAGGCCATTGAACCAGCATGAATTTTATACACATCTATATCATGCAATTCAGCCACCGTTTCATTCCGTAAGCGTTTCCATCCTTCTCTTTTGCTCGCTCGTAATTCGCGCCTTACGCACGACGGCGCAAATTTTTTCGCAGTCGCTCCAGCAGACACGATTGATTTCGCGTTGGCATTCTTCGTCGTTCATAAATTTGAAATCGGATGAATTTTATTTTATTATACATCAGCTGGTGATCGTAATCAAGTGGTTCGTTGGTGCGTCTGACTGTGCTTAGAGGCAAAAGGAGAAAATGGTAATTTGGTTCACAGTCCACTTCGCTTCTAGACGCACAAATAATTAGTGCAATAATTTTTAGATGAAATATTCGAATCAGCGACCAAAAAGAGCTCTAATGGTTAAAAGCTAATAATGGAATATGCGGAATACAAATTTATTTTCTTTTGCAAATAGCTGTAAATTTAAAATAAAAGAATATTAAATCAATTAAATGAAACAAGATATTAATTCGCCTTTCAAATTTGAATTCATGGAAAGAAGTTATTGTTGAAGAAAAAAAAGGTCCATCTTTTTTAAAAAACAAGCTATATTATATTGACACTATTATCATTTCATGCCTTATCTGTGAGCTTTTGAGAGCTTTACGGAGGTAAGCAGCACTTCTCGGCTAGTCAGCACATTTAGTTGAAAATCGCGAGCGTTGCAAATAAGGAGAGAAGATTTATTGTTCTCTCTTCTCGCGCGCGCTCCTCTCTTGGAGCAGCCACTCGATCCCAACACGACTGCGAGGAGCGGCTGCGGCAATTCAGGATTATCAGCAACTAAATATAGACACTTATCCGTGCACAGCCTAAAGTTTTGAAACCGACTTGCACAAAGATAATGATTGCGAGAAAATGACGGCTCTATTAGCGAAAATCATAGGCGTGGTGACGACACGCTTTAATCAGACGCGCTTGCCGAAAGATTTTCAATGATTGATGCGTTGCTGTCTCTAAAACGCAAAACAAAACAACTGACAATTTAACTGTTGATCGTTGAGGCTGTGAGATATGTGGGCGTTTATGAAAACAAAAATAAAATATGCTAGGCACATTTCAGACTCAGTAGCCCTATTCTAAATTATTAGATGAACTAAATAAATAATTTAATCCTAATTATGTATTGAAATTTTATTCCGTAATTTAATTAAAGAATTTGTGGTTCTGATATACAATATTATTAAGGTATAGTTGTAATTTATAAAAAAAAATCACAATGCATATGTGCATGTTCATGACAATGTTTATTTTTATTTCCAATAAAGGTTTTATCCGTCCTTATCCGCTGAGCCACACTCTTGTGCCATTAAAATTGTAGTTAGTTCTAGTATTATTAAATGATGTCAACGTAAACAAATAGTGATGGCCAAGTTCGGCGAAAAGGAGGTCGCATCCGGAGCTAAACTATTTGCCTGATTCCTGATGGCTCCGTGTTCTTTCCTTTTTGACAAAAAAGAGATGCTGTTTAACCGGTTCAATACTTTATACAGCGCATATTAACTTCTCGTTTAGAGACGCTAGTCCCGCACATGTGTGTGTTTGCAAGCCAGTCAATTGAAGAACATTTGAATTCAGGTCTTCAAGACATAGAGGCGCAAAAAGAGCCATAATAATTACAAAGAGGACGTGCAAATTGCTGTTCATTATTCAAGCTGAGAGATTGCTTCAGAGTCAATTTTGTTTTGATTTCTGAGGTTGATGGATGAGACAATTTTATTTGTTTTTCTGGCCTACTTAAAATTTAATTTTTTACTCTGCAAATACACACACGGCGAAGTAATTTTATAGCTTATGTGGATGAAAATTAAACTAAACGTTGGCAAAGTATGATTATTTTAAGTTTTCATCCGTCACCAGCCAAATGATTCTTTTAAATTTAGCATTAAATGTTATAAACTTGCAACGATTCAGAATTAACAACTCTTTTATGCTTATAAACATATGGCGAAGGAGAGAAAACTCAAAGAAGAACAATCAAATTAATTATAGTCGCATGCTGCATAGCCTTGCCTTATAGTGAGCGAGTAAAAAGCTGTGATGTGTTTAGTTTCCTTTCCTTACTCAGAATTAACAAAGGGCTTATCTCATTGCTCTAACAGCAACGGAATAAAATGCTCGCGTGCTTCCTCTTCAAATATGTCACTCTTACAGCTGAGGTGCTATAAAATCCAAATCGCTGCGTGCAAAACACTTGTCCTAATTGACAGTTTTCATTATGTAACCACGCAGAGAAGCAGCCGCGAGAGATTCTAATTTATGGCCTAGATATTGGTGATTTAGCCTGAAGCATTTTTTCTAATTTTTTTGAGACAATTTAATGTTGGCCGTAAAGGATGAGGGAAGAACTGGAGCCTTTATATTATTGAAAAATGTATGCCTATTTTTTATTAACTAGAAGAACAATTTATAGATGAAAAAGTCTTGATTTTAATACATCAAACTGCAACACCTGAAAATTCTTCAACAAACAAAAGAATTTTATTCCGGGAGAGCTTATATATTAAACACTGAACCGGTCCAATTTATTAAAAGCACTCTCTTCCCTGAGCAACTTCAAGTTACCATATTTAAACACGCAAAAATATATTTGGCTGAAATCGGACTAATTTATTCAGCAGGCCTTTCCTTTCGTTTGGCGAAAGCAGCAGCAAAATCTGCTGTCCCGATGCCCACCCCGGCCGTTTTTGCCAATGCGCGAATAATTTTCTTGACCTGGATTTCGTTGGCAAATCTACGTCCCTCCGTCGTGTTGTTTTTGTATGAATGGAGTGGCAGAAATTCGCTGCCAAATATGGGCATGCAAACAGCCGCGCAGCTGCATGTGTTCCCCGCAGCAGCCCCACTTAATTTGACATGACCCCTGACTGCTCCCCTCGCCCTATGCACGCCCGTTGCTGATGGTGTGCAGGCCTGTATATTATGCTGCTGGGTTTTTTTACTATGAATGTGTGTCATCTGACAATGAGTGTGTGCGTGTGTGCGTCTGCTGACTTCTCAGACAAACAGCATGATTAATACCGCGGAGCTTTGACTTTTTGTCCCTTTCAAATAAAGCTGACGAATGGAGCAGATTTTTTGTTTAATTTTAAAGGGGAGGATGCAAAATATGAAGGGTTGAGTGTTTGCGTCAACTGGAGATTGACGTAAACGCGTTTTTCTTAAAAAAATCCCATTAATATAAAGAATTAAATAATAAAAACTAAAAAGGCCGTGGAATTTTACACTGAGATTATTGCTATTTCTGAAAACAACAAACCTTTTAGCAGTACGGTTCAACCTTTGAAAGCTTGGCAATTTTAACGATTTTTTAAAATTAAATAAAATACTTTAAAATTTTATATAATAATATAATTAATTTTTAAATAAAACATTCCAAAATTTTAAATTATTTTAGAGTAAAATAAAGCACAAATAATAATTCCTGTCAATAATACTTTGTAATGATTTGAATGATTATATTCACCTCATGCATTAATTTCTCTTCGCCACACAAAAGCAATTCACGAAACAAACAAAAACTCTTTGTCCAAGATATATTGGCAAGCATATGGGCCGTGGAATTGCAATTTCCCATCATAACGACTGCTGCAGCTTTCACAAAATCAAATTTGGTAATGCGACCGTCTCTCGCATGTGTAGCAGCCACAATTAAAGCCTCACGGCGTGCGTATACACGAAATTGGCAGAGTCGATTCGACGCACCATTTATAGACGATGACCGGTGATGAAAAAGTAAAACGGCCTACCAAAACGGGCATATGACTGCAGGAGAGCGAAAAGCGATAATTAATCATCAAGCGCCACGTTTTGCGCAATGTGACACAAACTTGCGAATTGAAAAAAAAAATAATAAGTGGTGGTGGCATGGTGTCAAATAAAGCTATTTTGCATGCCAGTTGAGAGTGATGGCCTGCGGCGAACATTCCCGCATCCATATGGACCTGGCCATTAAAGGTTCACAGCCACGTTTTACCATATTTGTCCTCCACTCTGCCACTGAGTGAGAGTGTATTGGCCTACTCTCCTATTCAAAATCAACTGGGCGGTGGCGGCCATTCGCGTATGACTTTTCAAAAGTTTGGTAAAAAGATATTCTGGATTTTTTTTCTTTTGTTTGAAAATGTTTATTTTTAGATTTTGGCAATTACCATATGTCGTGTCACCACGACAGGGGCTAATTAGTATTAATCATTGAACACCTAAAACTAATGAAGAGCGGAGCTGGAGCCGAGCGCCGCCTTAATTTGCAGACTGGAGTTTGATATTTAATAGGCTTCTCCTGTGTCCCCCTTGGCCCCCTTGTGCATTTCATCCCCCATGTGACTTCAAACTTATCTCTTAATATCTCTTTAATCCTTTAATTAAATAGCCCGAGCACTCCTTAAATGGCTTGGACTAAAGTTACTTTTATTTATTATGACTTTAGTTTTGACTAGGTTTGAGTTTATAATTAAAAGCAATTAATTAAAGTTAAGAATTAAAGTTAAAGTTATTATTAAATAAAGAGAGAACAAAATACAAAATATGGCCAAATAGGATTCGGAAAAGCTAGTCTGATCTTACTAAGCTGAGGAAACAGTGGAAAAGCGATCATTACCGATTGATTGGGAACTTGGTAAAACGTGGTCGCCATTAACCGAATTGGCTGAAGATAGGACAGGGTGTTGTCTGCGTTTCGGGCGTCGCTCGTCTGAGGCTCTCAGGCACGGAGAGCCGGCTTCGAGGCTCGACCGTGGGTCTGATTGGGCCCTGAGGTGGCGCGCGCCGATCGGTCTTCTCAGGTTGGCTGAAGGGTCCACGCCATCAGGGAAAGGTCGGCGGGAGATTCGGAAAAGCGCGCGCGTTGCTTGCTCGGAATGAAGTTAAGTTTCCTTTATATGAAAAGCTATGGCCATGGGCTAACCTTACTCGCAGAGACAATAATTGATACAAATATTTATTATTCTGTTCGACAATATTTCGCGAGTGTGTGTCACCACAGACTGCCCCCCCTTCAACTTGGACGCGCCCTCGCGTCCATCAAGCTGAAGACTGGTGGTGGCTTGGTGTCCGGTGTGGTGGTTTGGGGCTTGGCAGGGCGCCTCTGGTGTCGTACTGCTCGTGGTTGCGCTGGGCCAAGGCAGGCAGTTGGTGTTTGCGAGAGATAGGTCATCTCTGCTTGGCTTCTCAGAGGTTGGAATTGGTGTTCAGGTGTGTTTTTGGCAACTGTGAATTCAGGCAAAATGAATAACAAGTTGGAATTATCTTAACCTATTATTTGTTTCGAGCGGTATCATTTGCTGTGGTTTTGCTAAATTTTTACATTTTGAGATTAATTTTAATTTTTTTTAGATTACAGTAAATTTTTAATTTTAGCGTTACATGTGAATCTTTGAACCTTGTCAAATTTCAAAAATTTTCCTGTGACAACATGAAATCATTTTCATTTTACATTTTGGTTGGATTGCAACTGGAATTTAATTTTAATTTACACTTCATTACACTTTCACGTTTTGGAGCTCGGAATGATTGGTTGACTTGTTTAGAAGTTCTTATGCTGTGCGGCGGCCAGAGGCCACGGCCTCGGCTGGAGTCACTGGACTTGGTGTGTCTGATGGCCATGCTCGTTTGTTTGTTTACGTGGCCAGCTGTGTTCTGTTGTTGTCTCTCAGCTTGCGAGAGTCGCGTTTCTGGTTGGCTGGAACTTTGCAGGCTGGCGAATGGGATTCGAGCTTGGAGTCACGTGACTGGTGCATGGAGAAGGTCACTTGCACTTTCACTTCACAAATGTCAACAACTTGGGCTTTTGCTGCTGATTTAGGTGAGATTTTCGGTTGTTTTGCTTGAAAATTGGATTATCTTTGTTCGTAGCACTTGTCTTGGTTGGCGAGCGGACTTGAATGATGATGGTGCGAAAACAAGCGGATTTCCCGGTCTTGAAGAACTGTGCACAGGCACAGTGCGATTCTTGCGAAGCTGCGGAGATATTTTGCGAGGAATTTCAACAGCAGTTACATAATAGTGGTGAGTTTAGTCAATTCCAGTGCAAGTAATTTAAAACTAATTGTAAGAAAATTAAAATAATTACATTTCTCTTCATGCATGTCGAGCATAAAAATAATTCATTTACAATACTTCCCGATGATGTTTTCTAACTAATGGGAGGAAAATTAATTATTTCATTGTTGTGGCTGCACATTTTGTTTTTAGATTATTTAACAATTTTTTCAATTAAAATTTTCGTTTCATTTTAGTTTAAAAAAATTTTCCCGTGGACAAAACAGCTCGGTTTGACACACATTTTTAAACATTTTAGAACACATTTTAATTTACGATTTCAATTAATCAACATTCTGTTTCATTTTCTTCTGTTGGACTTAAATCTAAACATGTTATAATATTTTCAATTTTAAATTTTACAATTTTCCCAATTTGAATTTAACTTCATTAAAAAAAAATTTCAGAGTGAGACGAAGATGTCGGTTCTTCTCCTGCCGAGGGCTAGTTGTGTTTCTTCTTGCGGAGCGGCTGGCTTCCAACTTGGTCCACTGATGGAACTGGATGTTGCGCTTGGGCTGCCACTGGAAGTGGGTCTTGTGGTCCGGACAGTGGACGGTGGTACTTGTGCTGCGCAGGTGTGTGTTGCTCTTGTCTGCTTTTGTCGACAATGCTGACTGATTATTTCTTGCAGTAGTGGTGAGACCAACTTGGACTGTCACTGGCCTTGTGTCAGTCCTAGTCAGTGCTGAAGTTCCGTCGAGGGCGCCATGACTGGTCGTTTGTCGACCCATCTTGCAGACCAGCTGAAGGTGGAGTCGGACAACTCGCAGAGCAAGGTGGCTTTTATCTGCCACGGAGTGGACGGCGAATTCTGATGCTGTTGGCAGCGAGACATCTGCAGTCCTGGCTGGGCAGAGGCTGGAGAGGTCTGCTGTCGGTGAGTGATGTACACCTGAGCAATGAAATGCTCCCATCTGCTGAAAACTGGAGTACTGGCAAAAGGGAGGGATTCACAACAATTGTGTAAAGATGTCACTTTTCGATTGCCATTCAGGTGCAGCCTTATGGCGGAGGTTTTGCTTTGCATTTGTTTTCAGAGTACATTTATATACAATGGTGAAACAATCATGAAAGTTGTTATTTTTTTATACACTTATATAATACAAAATTAAAATGTGCAATTCCTTCAAAAGTTTTAAATAGCCACAACAATAAAATAAATTGGCACCTTTTATCCAAGCTTTTGTACAGCTTTTGTAATTAAATGCTCACACCGTAGAGCTTTCCCTTAATTTTAACTTGACTGCTACCCTTTCCCAATGACAGTCTGCCTTTACTTTTGCTTGAATTAAAGTTTCCAAGTAAAAGTCGGGTATACTTATCAGTAACAGCTCATCTTCTAAAACCGTGCAGCGCCGAGAATGACGTCGCGGCGCAATCTCGAAGAGGTGAGCGTTCGCCTATGATCGTCTCGTTTTGTCTCGATGCTGGACACTGAATCCGCTAAGCGCTGGCCCTGCAGAAGCCAACGCCGCTGGGTGGATGCCTTTTCTATGGACGCTTGTTGGTCACTGGCCTTCCTGTGTTCGTTGAGGTTCCTTTCTGGTTTGCGCCGCTGGTGGACGAGGAATGTGAGGCCGTACCGGAGGTGATTAATTGGAAAAAAAAATCACCCCGCACCCTGACACCAAATCTGTCGTGTCACCACGACAGGGGCTAATTAGTATTAATCATTGAACACCTAAAACTAATGAAGAGCGGAGCTGGAGCCGAGCGCCGCCTTAATTTGCAGACTGGAGTTTGATATTTAATAGGCTTCTCCTGTGTCCCCCTTGGCCCCCTTGTGCATTTCATCCCCCATGTGACTTCAAACTTATCTCTTAATATCTCTTTAATCCTTTAATTAAATAGCCCGAGCACTCCTTAAATGGCTTGGACTAAAGTTACTTTTATTTATTATGACTTTAGTTTTGACTAGGTTTGAGTTTATAATTAAAAGCAATTAATTAAAGTTAAGAATTAAAGTTAAAGTTATTATTAAATAAAGAGAGAACAAAATACAAAATATGGCCAAATAGGATTCGGAAAAGCTAGTCTGATCTTACTAAGCTGAGGAAACAGTGGAAAAGCGATCATTACCGATTGATTGGGAACTTGGTAAAACGTGGTCGCCATTAACCGAATTGGCTGAAGATAGGACAGGGTGTTGTCTGCGTTTCGGGCGTCGCTCGTCTGAGGCTCTCAGGCACGGAGAGCCGGCTTCGAGGCTCGACCGTGGGTCTGATTGGGCCCTGAGGTGGCGCGCGCCGATCGGTCTTCTCAGGTTGGCTGAAGGGTCCACGCCATCAGGGAAAGGTCGGCGGGAGATTCGGAAAAGCGCGCGCGTTGCTTGCTCGGAATGAAGTTAAGTTTCCTTTATATGAAAAGCTATGGCCATGGGCTAACCTTACTCGCAGAGACAATAATTGATACAAATATTTATTATTCTGTTCGACAATATTTCGCGAGTGTGTGTCACCACACCATATTTATATAGCCGGCGCTCCTCAGGCAAGTTTTCTGTCAGTTTGTTTGGAGATCTGAAAATGGACATCCTGCCGCTGTCATTCAATTAAGCTCGCTGTTGCTTTATTTGTCTCTCGCAGTCATTCGGGCATTGTGTGCGCGGGGACACTTCTTTTCGTTTATGCAAATGCAGTCGAGTGGGTACAGCCATTATTTTGCCCTTTTTCAGAGAAAAACCAACCGACGTGATTTGTGTGAAGATAGTATCTCTCCAAACAAAACGCGTGTGCCATGCAAAATGTGGAAGTTTTCACTTTCAAAAAAGTCTGACAAGTGTACTACTCTTTTGGTTTAATTATTTTAAATTTCAATTTCTTATTTTCATGATCAATTACTGAGAGTATTTAAATTTCCTCAAAGATGAAATGAATAACTGAATGACGTAATATTTTTTCTAGATACAGATTAGATTATGGATCAAGAATGAACTTAATTATATTCTAGATTTTTTAAGTGTATACATTACATATTTTTTGCAGCAAATACAAATTTGTTTTTGAAATAACAATTTGTTAAAAATATGATTTGAATTCAATTTTGGATGGCTTCAGCTTGCTTCTTTTTTATTTGCAAGAGTGTGTGTGTGCGGATTTAATTTCTACCCGACTCGCTCTTTTGCCAAGCTTTATAAAAGTTTATAACTTGTGCGTATACCAAGACACAAGAAGCTACTTTAGTCTAGTTTCTCCATTTCGCTTCCAGCGCTTTCAAAGTTTTGCACACTTTTCGAGCGGGTAGGTATGTGTGTATTATTTTCGCATTATCTCGCTGTTTACTCCGGTAACACTATAACCGCGCAAAACACTCCTTATATGGCCAAATAGACCGCGGTGAATAACATACAAAGCCATCCGTAGCGTTGGAGAGCCATTGTATGAAATAATGTAACTTTTTAAATTGCAGCACATGAACGTGTGGAAGTATTGTTTGGTACACCCATCCGCGTTAGAACAAAGGTAATGAGCAAAACGCAGCCAGTCTCACAATTGAAATACGTTTGCCTCACAACAATCAATTAACCTCAAACACTCCATAAAAATAAAAATTTTATAATTATAAATTAATGAAAGATTGATAGTGCATGGAATAAACATTATTGCCAGCCACAAAGCTTTGATTGCCAACACTATTTTCGCAGAAAAAATCCTCAGTTATTTTTATCATTTAATAATAGAGTGCTCGTTCTGATTCTCCTCATGTCTGATATTCGCACTCGGCGATTATAAAAATCGACGCCTGCACGCCAATTAAACGGAACCGACGACCAGCTTCCTGCCCCCCTTTCCTTTTGTCCAATTAATTTCATTCCAGCTCGATGGGTGTTTTAGTTTTCGGACTTTGGACTGCTTTTTCGTTGCGCGCGGGTTGGAAAGTGGAGGCGCGTCCACGCATGGAGCATTGATGATTAAATTGTCCGCTCTCTCTCTACAACTGCCTGCGCGATTGTGCGTTCCTCCCATCCGGTGCTACATGCTGCTGTGCCCAAATGATTCTCACAGGGTGAGATAATACGCCAAATTAAATATTGCGCGACGCTATGGCGTGTCCCATTTGAGTATTAATACACCTTATCATAATGCTAACTCTTATTTGCGTGTCATAAATTTGAATGTAGGCCGCGGCAGAATACTTTTGATGTTAAAAAACGAGTTTTAAAATTTGACATAATTTTCAAAGTAAGAAATATTACAAAATTAAATTTTGTGTTGTACAACACAAATATCTTTTTTAGTATTTTATATAAATTGAGAATAAAGTGTAAAACAGTTGAATAGGCAAACGGAAAATAAATGATGTGCTTGGATGATTGATAAAATTCCTTGAACCGGTGCTAATGACCGAGTGCAAATATTTTATAATTGACTCAGCAAGTGCATATAACTCAAGCATGTCGAGGGAGATAAACCAAGGTTGAGCTGTTGGTGTGTTGATAAAAAGTGCGCGGGGAATGCTCTCATCACACTTTGCAGACGCGATAATTGCGCGCGTGCTTTTTCAACTAATGAGATGGCACGGATAGGATGTTATTGAATTGTTGCCCAAGATCAATCACAGCAGCAAAGTCCTCTAATCAGTTAAATCGCAGTAGAAATCAATGAACTTCCGAGATGAAAATTAAATCTTGATGAATCATTCATCTTAATGGGTGTCAACAATTTTCGCGCACGATTTCATATCTCATGTTGGAAAAAATATTTGTTTACAACTCCAACAATCTATATAGATACAGAATAATTGCTCAAATCCCGCTTGCACGAAAAAGTCCCAACTATTTAGGTTAATTCTAATGTTTGTAAAATCTGGGAGAGAAGGAGAGACCGAGAGAAACTAAATGAGCTGCAAGTTTTTTTAGTTTTTTTTTTATTACTATACGATTAGAGTAAAATGATTTAAATAATGAAAGTTTTAAGTTTTACCAAGATGGTTTAAAGAAGAAAACGTAAAATGTGTTTGAACGCAAAAGGATTTTAAAAGAACTAAACGCTAGAAATGGGCAAAGAGAAGCTGCTCTGCCGCGGCAATTCCTTTTTCCGACTCGGGCCAGCGGAGAGCTCACCGAGTTTTATCCTTTTTAGTCACGAAGGTGACGAGGACAATACTCGCGGCGGCAGAGTCGGGCACATGAGCTGTTCACCCCTAGGCCTGCGAGCGAGAAACATCTCTTAATAAGGCCATAATCGGCGGCGAGGAGAAAACTGGCGAGTGCTATATAAAGAGAAATAATAATGCCGGTTGCATCACAGCAGCGAGTCGTCACTCGATCTCTGCAATATCATTCCAAGAGCTGCTGTTGTGTGCTAGTATATGAACAATCTCGCGGCGCCACTTTTTGTTTTTCACCGTCTGCATCTCTCTTGCTTGCCATGCTCGGCAGGCTGATCGGCGACAAATTATTTTAATGAATTATATAAAAATCAATGATAATATCAAGGAGTCTCCGCCGCTTCCTTTTTCCGAAGTTGAGGCGGTGTCAAAACCAGTCACTCTCGCTTGAAAAATGTGTCGATGCAGAGACAAAAGCAAATTCAATTGCTTTAACTATTAAAATTAGACATGAAAATTATACTTTTTTAATCATATTTGTTTAATAACTTCAGGCAGATAATGAAATCATATGGTGAATAGTTTCAAAATCTCAACTTTTTCAACTAAAGAGGAGAGTTCTGCCAATATTTTATTCTGGGGAGTTCCAATCTTGCTCTGCTTATGCTCCGACAAAAAAATCGATATTATAGTAAAGTTATAACACTGAATCTTTAGTAAAATTTAATTTTAAAATATTTTCTACAGTTTTCCCATTACCCCTTATCCTCCACTTCCTGATTTGGCTCTGGATCTTGATTTCCTTATTATGCTGCCCACATAACAGTATTACTCACAATAAGCGCCTTTTGTGATAAACGAGGATTTAAAGCGAATGACTAATATTATACTCTGATGCCGCTTTTATACGCCAAACCTAGTTTGTTTTTATATTGTTTATTTCTCTATACAAAGAATAATTCATGTGCCTAATTAACACGACCGACAATTTAATTAAAACACACTTTACGCCAATTTAGCCGGTGTGCTGCTGTTGCACGAAAAGCTGCGCGAAATTAAAACCACGCCTGAAAAACCGCAGACTAATTGCTGAGACGTGCATGAACTCGCTCTCGGCGGAAAAACCGAGACGCGGAGAAGGAGATCACGAGCGCAACGATTTTCGGTCCTGCGAATGAAATATACTCGGCACTCACACACATGTTGTATGAAGAACCAGTCGAGCTTTGACGTCATTAAACTTAAAAGAGAAGAGCCACAATTCCGAGAGTGCCGGAGATCAAAAAAGGAATTAGTGGAGGCGAGAGGAAAGATATGAGTTTCAAAAAGTCTTTCCGGCCTGTCATGCACAATCTGAGCGACGAGCAAGGATGTGTTTCGTTTTTTATTTTGATTCCCATTCAACTCGACGCTGTGTGTGGTTGAATTTTGCCGGTGGGAACCGAATTAAAATGGTAATTACGCCTTGTGTCGGCGGCGGTGATCTGTTGTGGATCAAACGAGCGAGGGCCTGTTTTTATTTTGGAATACAATTATGCTCTCAAAAGCTTCATCAGGGTTCATTGGCCACAGCAAGAAAAAAGAAACCGTTTAATTAATTGTTGAGAAATTTTCCTGATCCATGATTTCTTATTTTCATTTAAATTAATTAATTTAATGGAAGAATAAATCCAGGAGTTAAATCACAAATAAAAAAACATTTCACGATAGCTGCATATGATATTATCAAAGCAGTTAACCATTAATCAAAATACTATATACTATTATAATATTTAGGACATTTTGCTCGGCATTTTAGTTAATTGGCTTGTAATTTATAAGTACTTTCAAATTATCGCTGTCAATATCCCACAAAACTGATTAATAAAAACCTATGATAATTTTAACCACGTTTCTGTAAATTTGATATTTTTCATACAATTTTAATTTATTTCGTTCCATTGTTAACAACAATTGTATTGTAAACTGTCAACAACACATATTTAATATTGCAATATTTTTAAACTTTATACTTGTCATACACGAACGAGTTCAGCGTTATATTGTTCTTGTTGCAGAAATCAATACTGTGTTCAATGATGTGACAGAGCAAGTACTTGACACTCCTTACGTTTGTTTCGCCTTCAGAGAGGCGTCCATAGTAAAATGTAATGGAAACTTGTCTTCGGTTTTCCTTTCAATGAAGAGACACATAGCGCGTATATTATATACAATATGAATATTAATGTCACGCACTTCCTCCAGTCATTGAAAATTGAAATTGTTTTGCAATTACAATATTTCGCCATTAGTCATACACATTCTATTGAGAATAAAGCGCACGGTTATATCAAAGGTTTTTTGTTATTGAAAATAAATCAGCAGCGAAACAAAAGGCAAAAAGTGTGCGTGCCGAAAATTCTAAACTTTTCCACAAGGTTATAATATAAATGCTGGGGGTACACAGACGGCTGGATTGTTGCCAAACGGTTGAATATTATTCGGCTAAAGTCGTTTGCGAATTTTTAAGCAGGGAGTGGTCCTCAAAAAACATATTGCATTGCTCAAAGCAGTTTGTGCGCACAATTGTTCTTTGGCATCTCTCGCACACTATAATGTGGGTTTGCTGATTGAGCGAGAGCACTTTTGTTCATTTGTATATATCTCGTGACTAGTTATTGAAAGCAAATAGGGCACGGCGGTCAATCCATGTGGCGGGTAGATAGAAATTACGATTTGATCCACGTGACAACCAGATATGATAGAGAACATCAATCAGACAAACGGTCAAGCTAATCAACGGACAAAAATCCATTCAATCCAAATTTATCTTTATCTATTAATAGTTGCAATAAATTATTGGTAGAGGGAAAAATTGATTTTGAATGGTTTAATAATTGCTTGAATTTGGAACTTTGGACTATTTGTATAGATCACGTTTAATTAATCATCTTCATGGAAAGAAATTAAGGAATAAAATCTATAATAATTTTTTAAGCTCTATTTTTGTAAAATCGTAAAGTATATTATATATTTTCGTGTAATTATACAAATAAAAAAAAAATACCAATACATGCGTGTATTTGAGAACTTTTAACTCGCAATAATTAAATATTCTTTTCTCCCCATCACATTTTTCATTTATATTTTCTATACTTTTGTCGTTTTTTATCATTTAAAATTACCTTTTTTTAAGTGAGATATAACGTTGGCACGGCGGTGCCGTGCTGCGATAAAACGGCAAAAAATGAGTCAATTTGGCTGCAAAAGCTCGTGGGGTATTCCATGTATTATTTCCCATGAGAGAGATAATTCCCTGCCGAGCGTCTCGCCTGAAAACAGCAAATTTTGCTGCGGCACAATCCACCCCGGCGAGAAACCAACGACCCTCTGTACCTACCACACCCCAGCCAGTGTTGGATTCCCGTCAATTTAGGGCGCCGCTCAGGGCAGACAAACAGACGGCCGCGGATGAATCAGAGCAACACTGACCAGCCCTCCTTTTCCCTGTGTTTTCTTATGCGTCACGCACTTTGCGAGTGTGACTCATTCGCCAGCGATCCAGAGATCGCGGGCCGGTTGTCACTTCGCGTGCCATCAAGGGACCTCTGACCCTCGATACACATGACCCTTACTTGTGATGACTTACTCAATTTGAACTCAATTATTCATGTTCAGAAACGTATGATTATTATGTTTTGATGTATTTTTATAAGGAAAAAGAAAAGTATTTTTGTTTTATAAAAATAAGAGCAGGAAATTTGAATTAATTTAGTCGTTTTAATTTCCTTTTTTTTATTAAAATGTAATTTTACTTTTGCATGTAAGAATTGCGGAAAACAAACAAACAATGAAATAATAAATTCTTGAGTAGATACAACATATGCACATTTTCTATTGTTTAAATTTTTTATTTATATTGAAAACATTATTATTATTTGAGGGGGTTACAACAATAACACGCGTTCTGATTCGGTACAACTTTTATGTAAATTAAATTGTATTTTTTTCACATTTAAGATTAAAAATTGAAATAATGTTCATAATTTATTTTATTCAATTATTATGTATTGTAGAAAAACAACTAAATTTGATTGATCTTAGTGATCAAAACTTATATTATATTGCTAAATATTTCTAATTTTTGCAATCGATTTACTAATTTAGTTATCAAAAATCTACTTTCAGGTTGCGGCAAACTGTCAAAAAAATCCGCATAACTTCCAACAAATTAAATTATTATTTGTATTTTCTTAAATTTTATTTATAAAAGCAAGATCTGAGAGTGTGTGCACAATCAAGGAAATTTGAAATTTATCGCTCATAACAGGACGCTTCTAGTGGTTTTGGCGTGTTTGGTTCAGCATGTCTGCCGCGCTGTTTGCTTCGTTGGTTTCTTGGGTCTTGGCTTCCGTATCGAAAACCAAAAGAACATTCTGACTGTGATATATTTTTTCGATGAATTTTCATGCTTATCTTCCATAGTCACTCCTGGCAGGGCTATCAAAATATATAATAAACAATGTTAAAGGGCACATGAAGGAGAGTAAAAATTCATGAATTAAAATATGTACAAAATTAAATTTTTTTCTCAATCTGATGATAATTAATTTAAATAAAAAAATTGTATTCAAATACTTTTATAACTATTATAGCTTTAAAAAAAATAATGATTGATAAAATGTGTTATTTTATTTTATAGATCCAGTTAATTTAAATTTATCATGTTCATTTTTATGTAAAAAATAATTAAAATCCGCAATTGTGATGAATTTGAAAAATTTTTGGGATCCATTAAATATTTTGCATTATGAAAAAATTAATCAATCCAGAAATCTAGAATATCTATTTCAGCTCACTTATATAAAAAAACCAGTCCATTCAACCAACAAGCAGCAAGCGCCTGGCAGTTAGATTTCGTGCAAAACACGTAGTTTGTATTATGGCCGATTGAGGGCAGCACGCACAAGATGGAAACGCGTCAAACGCGCGACCAATCAAATAACAACAAAAACACGATTGTTGAGCAGAGCAGCAAAGAGCGATTCTTGTGACGAGGGTGCAACGTGATGCAGTTTTTCGCACTTTTCCGATTCTCTGCCAGCACTGGTAAAAGAGTGACCTGCTCAGAAAGTTCCCTGGGCAGTAAGTTGTAAAGCCTGTAACGATGTCAAACCCGGAAGACCGACCCAGGTAAGACGAAAACCAAAATTGAATGTACTCATGACACACAATTTTTGATGTCTCAGGTAAATAATGCGCACTCATGTTACAAATTTCCTCTTCAGCAGGAAGAGGTCGATGAGAGACTGTGACGATGGCGCCTGCGACTTTGCGCCCTTATCCAAGAGGATAAACAATCTGCACTTGACTAGACCACCCCATCAAGACCCTTTCCAGGGTGGATCCAAGGAGGATGAAGTCCATCAACATCCTCAACACCCCCATCACCAGCAAAATGTTAGTTTGGGGATGAAAATTTAAAAATTTTACCCTGAAGAAAAGTCTCAATTACACTCGATGATCAAATATTTTTGCCAGAGTATTAATTACTACAAATTTAAATTAAATAATTTAATGTAATAATTTTACCAAAACCGAGTTATACTACATGCCTAATTTATAAAAATCTATTTAAATTTCATATCTGCTCATTTAAAAATTGTTTTAATGTCAAAGGAGTGTCTTTTAAAAGTCTTTGTTATAATATAGCTATTTTTCCGAGATAGATTTTCATATTGATTTTTTTTCTCCGAATCTAAGACAAAGTGCCTTTAACTAAGAACAACACATTTATAAAGAAACAATTTTTTTTTAAATTAAAGGAAATAATTGTAGTTTAACTAACTTATTGTTTACAAAAATATTTATGGCTTCCTCTGAGCATAGCATAACACAATTATTAAATTACATGTTCGTAATATTTATTAATTCTGTACGAGGAGTACAAACCAAGACTTATTTCTATAAAATCTGCAGATCTTCAAATAAAATTATTTAGGTTTCTCTGGGTTTCTCTGAATGTAAAAGTAAAAATATTGGTCTACAATTTTCCCCTCAATTTTGATAAGACACTGTTAATTTTTGGTTTTGTAGATTTTGCTCCAGCAGAATACTGGAATTTTTTTTATTATTTTAAGGCATGCTTTTTCTTTAACTTTTTATAATTTAATATGGGAATATTTAAATAAACCAGAATTTTATCATATTTTGTCAATACCTGTATCGTTTGTCCTAAGCCTCTAGGACTAAAACGAAACAGGTATGAATGAAATATTTTTGAAAATTTAGGACTATTCAAAATTAATCCTGCAGAGTGATAATAATATAGCGAGGCACTTTAAATTTAGGTTTCCTTTTTAAATAAACCAGAATTGTATCACATTTTGCCAATACCTGTTTCGTTTGTCCTAAGCCTCTGGGACTAAAACGAAACAGGTATGAATGAAATATTTTTGAAAATTCAGGACTATTCAAAATTAATCCCGTAGAATGAAAATAATATAGCGAGGCGCTTTAAATTTAGGTTTCCTTTTTAAATAAACCAGAATTTTATCATATTTTGTCAATACCTGTATCGTTTGTCCTAAGCCTCTAGGACTAAAACGAAACAGGTATGAATGAAATATTTTTGAAAATTCAGGACTATTCAAAATTAATCCTGCAGAGTGATAATAATATAGCGAGGCACTTTAAATTTAGGTTTCCTTTTTAAATAAACCAGAATTTTATCATATTTTGTCAATACCTGTTTCGTTTGTGCTAAGCCCCTGGGACTAAAACGAAACAGGTATGAATGAAATATTTTTGAAAATTCAGGACTATTCAAAATTAATCCTGTAGAATGAAAATAATATAGCGAGGCGCTTTAAATTTAGGTTTCCTTTTTAAATAAACCAGAATTTTATCACATTTTGCCAATACCTGTTTCGTTTGTCCTAAGCCTCTGGGACTAAAACGAAACAGGTATGAATGAAATATTTTTGAAAATTCAGGACTATTCAAAATTAATCCTGTAGAATGTAAATAATATAGCGAGGCACTTTAAATTTAGGTTTCCTTTTTAAATAAACCAGAATTTTATCATATTTTGCGAGTACCTGTTTCGTTTGTGCTAAGCCCCTGGGACTAAAACGAAACAGGTATGAATGAAATATTTTTGAAAATTCAGGACTATTCAAAATTAATCCTGCAGAGTGATAATAATATAGCGAGGCACTTTAAATTTAGGTTTCCTTTTAAAATAAACCAGAATTTTATCATATTTTGCGAGTACCTGTTTCGTTTGTGCTAAGCCCCTGGGACTAAAACGAAACAGGTATGAATGAAATATTTTTGAAAATTCAGGACTATTCAAAATTAATCCTGTAGAATGAAAATAATATAGCGAGGCGCTTTAAATTTAGGTTTCCTTTTTAAATAAACCAGAATTTTATCACATTTTGCGAGTACCTGTTTCGTTTGTGCTAAGCCCCTGGGACTAAAACGAAACAGGTATGAATGAAATATTTTTGAAAATTCAGGACTATTCAAAATTAATCCTGTAGAATGAAAATAATATAGCGAGGCACTTTAAATTTAGGTTTCCTTTTAAAATAAACCAGAATTTTATCATATTTTGCGAGTACCTGTTTCGTTTGTGCTAAGCCCCTGGGACTAAAACGAAACAGGTATGAATGAAATATTTTTGAAAATTCAGGACTATTCAAAATTAATCCTGCAGAGTGATAATAATATAGCGAGGAACTTTAAATTTAGGTTTCCTTTTTAAATAAACCAGAATTTTATCACATTTTGCCAATACCTGTTTCGTTTGTCCTAAGCCTCTGGGACTAAAACGAAACAGGTATGAATGAAATATTTTTGAAAATTCAGGACTATTCAAAATTAATCCTGTAGAATGTAAATAATATAGCGAGGCACTTTAAATTTAGGTTTCCTTTTTAAATAAACCAGAATTTTATCATATTTTGCGAGTACCTGTTTCGTTTGTGCTAAGCCCCTGGGACTAAAACGAAACAGGTATGAATGAAATATTTTTGAAAATTCAGGACTATTCAAAATTAATCCTGCAGAGTGATAATAATATAGCGAGGCACTTTAAATTTAGGTTTCCTTTTAAAATAAACCAGAATTTTATAATATTTTGCGAGTACCTGTTTCGTTTGTGCTAAGCCCCTGGGACTAAAACGAAACAGGTATGAATGAAATATTTTTGAAAATTCAGGACTATTCAAAATTAATCCTGCAGAGTGATAATAATATAGCGAGGAACTTTAAATTTAGGTTTCCTTTTTAAATAAACCAGAATTTTATCACATTTTGCCAATACCTGTTTCGTTTGTCCTAAGCCTCTGGGACTAAAACGAAACAGGTATGAATGAAATATTTTTGAAAATTCAGGACTATTCAAAATTAATCCTGCAGAGTGATAATAATATAGCGAGGCACTTTAAATTTAGGTTTCCTTTTAAAATAAACCAGAATTTTATCATATTTTGCGAGTACCTGTTTCGTTTGTCCTAAGCCTCTGGGACTAAAACGAAACAGGTATGAATGAATTATTTTTGAAAATTCAGGACTATTCAAAATTAATCCTGTAGAATGTAAATAATATAGCGAGGCACTTTAAATTTAGGTTTCCTTTTTAAATAAACCAGAATTTTATCATATTTTGCGAGTACCTGTTTCGTTTGTGCTAAGCCCCTGGGACTAAAACGAAACAGGTATGAATGAAATATTTTTGAAAATTCAGGACTATTCAAAATTAATCCTGCAGAGTGATAATAATATAGCGAGGCACTTTAAATTTAGGTTTCCTTTTTAAATAAACCAGAATTTTATCACATTTTGCCAATACCTGTTTCGTTTGTCCTAAGCCTCTGGGACTAAAACGAAACAGGTATGAATGAAATATTTTTGAAAATTCAGGACTATTCAAAATTAATCCTGTAGAATGTAAATAATATAGCGAGGCACTTTAAATTTAGGTTTCCTTTTTAAATAAACCAGAATTTTATCAAATTTTGCCAATACCTGTTTCGTTTGTCCTAAGCCTCTGGGACTAAAACGAAACAGGTATGAATGAAATATTTTTGAAAATTCAGGACTATTCAAAATTAATCCCGTAGAATGAAAATAATATAGCGAGGCGCTTTAAATTTAGGTTTCCTTTTTAAATAAACCAGAATTTTATCATATTTTGCGAGTACCTGTTTCGTTTGTCCTAAGCCTCTGGGACTAAAACGAAACAGGTATGAATGAAATATTTTTGAAAATTCAGGACTATTCAAAATTAATCCCGTAGAATGAAAATAATATAGCGAGGCGCTTTAAATTTAGGTTTCCTTTTTAAATAAACCAGAATTTTATCATATTTTGCGAGTACCTGTTTCGTTTGTGCTAAGCCCCTGGGACTAAAACGAAACAGGTATGAATGAAATATTTTTGAAAATTCAGGACTATTCAAAATTAATCCTGCAGAGTGATAATAATATAGCGAGGAACTTTAAATTTAGGTTTCCTTTTTAAATAAACCAGAATTTTATCACATTTTGCCAATACCTGTTTCGTTTGTCCTAAGCCTCTGGGACTAAAACGAAACAGGTATGAATGAAATATTTTTGAAAATTCAGGACTATTCAAAATTAATCCTGTAGAATGTAAATAATATAGCGAGGCACTTTAAATTTAGGTTTCCTTTTTAAATAAACCAGAATTTTTTCACATTTTGCCAATACCTGTTTCGTTTGTCCTAAGCCTCTGGGACTAAAACGAAACAGGTATGAATGAAATATTTTTGAAAATTCAGGACTATTCAAAATTAATCCCGTAGAATGAAAATAATATAGCGAGGCGCTTTAAATTTAGGTTTCCTTTTTAAATAAACCAGAATTTTATCATATTTTGCGAGTACCTGTTTCGTTTGTGCTAAGCCCCTGGGACTAAAACGAAACAGGTATGAATGAATTATTTTTGAAAATTCAGGACTATTCAAAATTAATCCTGTAGAATGTAAATAATATAGCGAGGCACTTTAAATTTAGGTTTCCTTTTTAAATAAACCAGAATTTTATCACATTTTGCCAATACCTGTTTCGTTTGTCCTAAGCCTCTGGGACTAAAACGAAACAGGTATGAATGAAATATTTTTGAAAATTCAGGACTATTCAAAATTAATCCTGTAGAATGTAAATAATATAGCGAGGCACTTTAAATTTAGGTTTCCTTTTTAAATAAACCAGAATTTTATCAAATTTTGCCAATACCTGTTTCGTTTGTCCTAAGCCTCTGGGACTAAAACGAAACAGGTATGAATGAAATATTTTTGAAAATTCAGGACTATTCAAAATTAATCCCGTAGAATGAAAATAATATAGCGAGGCGCTTTAAATTTAGGTTTCCTTTTTAAATAAACCAGAATTTTATCATATTTTGCGAGTACCTGTTTCGTTTGTCCT